TCATTTACAGCCAAAAGGAAATGAATCAGTTACTGGATACCATCGACGACGGCAACAAAGGCACGGGTGGTATCAAACTGCGTTGCACTGCTTGGGGCTTGCTGGGCTTCATCAAGTTCACCGGACCGTATTACATGCTCCTAATTACGAAGAAGAGCACAGTGGCCATGATCGGTGGACATTACATATACCAAGTTGATGGTACAGAGTTGGTGCCGCTGACACCGAATCGATTCAAGGCCGACGTTCGCAACACTGAAGAGTCCCGGTTCTTGGGTATATTGAATAACCTGGATCTTACTAGGTCGTTCTACTACAGCTATTCGTACGACATCACACGCACACTGCAGCATAATCTCACGAGGGAGCGTGAAGCGCTTGCGCGTGGGTTTCCGGGGGCCATGAATGACTTCAACGGCATGTTCGTCTGGAACCATCATCTGCTGCAACCAGCCACCAAAGCACTCAAGGATCCCTTTGACTGGTGCCATCCCATCATCCACGGCTACATTGACCAAGCTGGTGAGTACTTGCAACTGCCGCGATTCGGGGCAATGGATATCTAACGGACTGCGCATCGTAGCCTTATCGATATACGGACGCACAGCATACATTACTATCATTGCTCGGCGATCTCGTTTCTTTGCTGGTGCAAGGTTCCTCAAACGGGGGGCCAACGACCTCGTGAGCTTGCCTGGCTAGTACGTCAACTGGTATTATGGCTGACACTCTGCGAATAGGGTTACGTTGCAAACGATGTTGAGACAGAGCAAGTAGTTTCAGAAGCCTTGACAACTTCGTTCCATGCTCCGGGACGCAGGCTCTTCTCCAGTCCGCAGTACACTTCTTATGTTCAGCACCGGGGAAGTATCCCCCTATATTGGACGCAGGATAATACGGGCGTGACACCAAAACCACCCATCGAGTTAAACCTCGTTGATCCATTCTACAGCGCTGCCGCCCTTCATTTCGATAACCTGTTCGAACGCTACGGCGCTCCCATCTACGTATTGAATCTTGTCAAAGCAAGGGAACGGACGCCACGGGAGTCCAAACTGTTGCTGGAGTACACAAATGCAATCAACTACCTGAACCAGTTCCTACCAGAAGGTCGCAAGATCATTCACAAGGCGTGGGATATGAGTCGAGCGGCGAAGAGTCGCGACCAGGACGTCATAGGTACACTGGAGCGCATTGCCGAGGACGTCGTCACCACAACCGGATTCTTCCACGACGGCGACGGCAAGGTGTATCCAACCAGCGTTCAAAATGGCGTGGCCCGGACCAACTGTATAGACTGCCTCGACCGAACCAATGCCGCACAATTCGTCATTGGGAAAAGGGCCCTAGGCCATCAGCTTCACGCACTTGGCATTCTCGAAGACACCTCCATAAACTACGATACAGACGCCGTCAATCTCTTCACTCACATGTATCACGATCATGGTGACACCATTGCTGTGCAGTATGGCGGCTCCCAGCTCGTCAATACCATGGAGACATACCGCAAGATCAATCAGTGGACGAGCCACTCTCGCGACATGATTGAGAGCTTCAAGAGGTATTACAACAATTCTTTCCTAGATGGACAGCGCCAGGAGGCCTACAACCTCTTCCTCGGCAACTACATATTTGCCCAAGGGCAGCCAATGCTGTGGGACCTCGCGACTGACTACTACCTTCATCACGCGGACCCGCGAGCCTGGTCCGAAAAGACGAAGCGAAACTACATCGACTGGTATACTGCAGAGAACCTGCAGGAAAGAAGTTTCCCGCCCTACTTACCGCCTCCTGGCGAGGCAAAGAAAAAGCCAGTATCTCACTTTGATGATTACTGGGTTGAATACTATCGCCCATCCACGCTCTCGTCATTTCTGAAAATGTTTCCCTACAAAATGAACTCGACCATCAAGTACATACCCTTCAAATCCACGCAAGATGGACGGTATGACTTGAGTCCCTTCCGGGTTCGCAACGAGACTGATATGGACGCCCATGAGAAGAAGAAGCCCAAGAAGGAGGTGACAATCGTCGACCCACAAGACCTGAAGTCCCCTCGGGACATTGATGCTGTGTCGGTCATGTCAGATCGTACGGCAGGCGGGAAGGGGATCTCCATCCACCGCTGGCTTCAGCCAATGCAGGATAGAGTGACTGGGCACCACGGAATCATGAAAGAGACCCATGCAGAACCCCAAGATCCGTCAAAGATCAAGCCCACGGCCCAGGAGAAGACTAAAGCGGCTCAGTGGACCTTCACGAAGGCTGTTAGCGAGTCCCTCAATCCATCTGTGAGCCAGCAGGAGGCCGAGGACTACGAGCGGTACATCAGCCATCCCCAAAACCTGCCGCTAGTAGTGTCGGCCGAGACGATCCAGGCAGAAAACCAATCTGAGTACCAGCACTATGTCCAGAGTAGTTGGCAGAGTGACGCAATAACGCCTGTCGGTACCGAGGAGGATATCGCTGTATATGCGGAGCTACTCAAGGTTGGCAGCAATCCTCTTACCGTCACCGAGGAGGATGCTCAGAAGAAGCGATACAAGGCCTATAGGAAATGGCTTCGAGGCAAGTCGTTCTTCAAGCAGCAGCCACTTGATTGAGGTCAGGTCCGCTATTCTCTTCACCTGCCACCACCGCCCCATCCTCCTGGTCCCCAAACAAGTCCTCGAGCCTAGGTTCCACAGCTAGCAATGCCGAAACGTAAGGCTTCAGAGGCAGATCGGCCGCTGCAAAGATGGCGCGCAATATGGGCGTAAGTTTGGAGACTTCAGCTAGAGCTTCTTCGGTCGCCGCATTCTCCGGCCCGCTCGTACGCTCATTGAGCACATTCAACCAACAAACGCTGATCGATCTCAGCACTTCGCCTGCGTGTGATTTGTCTGAGATTCTCGGCCAGCAATTCACCATGATGGCACCCAATGCCTGCGCGGCCGCTTGTATGCTGCTAGGATGAGAAGCGAGGAATGGATCCGTCATGATTGCAGAAACCATGGACAGGAGCTCCTATGTAAGAGTTAGCAATCGAGCAATCATGCTGGAGACATGTGGAGTTGCCTTCAAATGTGCCGTGGCAAAGATGCCGAGTTCGCTGACGATGGAGGTCGTTTGTCGAGCAAGTAGTTGAACAATTCCAATAAACTCGGACGCTTGCCAATAGCCCGGAAAAACTCCCTCCCTAAGCAAACGAGTAAGAAGTTTGTTCTTTTTGTCTCTGTCGCCCGCTCCAGGAAACTGTATCTTGGCAAGCTGGATGATTGTACCATATGCCGGATCGAGTAGTAGAAGAGACTCCTTCTCGGGCGTCAGAGTTGGCAGGGAGAGTAGAGAGGGGAAGACGGATTGTTCAAAAATGCCACCCAGGCCGGTTTGAACGAGGACCTTGGCTGGACATTTGACAAGAAAGTCGCCTAGAATGGTAAGGCCCCTTGCTTTGAACTTAGTGTCCGAGTCATCTAAGAGAGCGAGAAGAACTGGAGTGAACAACGGCCAGCTTTTTTCAATCAGCGCATCCTGTAGAGAATTGAGTGTTAGCCTCCCGTTCCAGGAACACGACTACTTGATGTTGAAAGCGTGACCAACATCAGCTTGTTCCACAGCCCAGGAAAATATTGTAATGGCATGAACCTGAGTGGTTTTCCAAGGTTTCGCGTCATCGGTATCAGCGAAAACGCCAGGAGTAAAGCGGTCCTGGCTATCATCGGCGAAATGAGCCTTCCTGCCCGTAGAAGTGATGCGACTAGAGCTTGTCCGAGAGAAGATGGGCCTAATAAAGCGCTCCAGCACTACAGAGTTGAGGAACGCATGCTTTTGGGCATCGTCCAAAGAATGACTCAAGATCTCTTTGGCATAAAGCTCTGCTTCGACGGTCGTCCAGGTTTCCTTGCGGTCGGTGTATGCAGCGATGGCAATCAGATTCTGGTCGTCAAGTGATGGAGAAAACCTGAGGACAAGACTACTCAAGATATCTAACGCCTGCTCCGCAAGAGTTGGGTCATTGTTCAACAGCGAGCCGGAAGAGTGGCTCAGGAGTCCCAGTGCATGGCTAGAAAGCTGTTTGATGGACGCCTGGTCTTGTGCCCCTTGGTCGATGCGGTCGGCATTCCTGAGACAGAGCGCAAGAGCACTGAGAGTGTCGACTGGTGGCTGCTGATGGTAATGAGTCACTATGTAAGACGAATGAGATGGATGAGTAGGCCGAACCCACCAAATGCTCGACCTTCGAGAAGTCTTCTGCGAGGTCGGTAAGAGTATATCGTTCTGGTAGATCTGTGACTTGTGTCAGGGTCCGGCATCCAATGAAGCACTGCCTTGGCCGTGGGAAATTCAAACCTCTATCGACATTGAACTCAACAGAGCTGGAGGCAGCTCGCTGCAGGGCCTTGACCACGTCGGAGAGCATAGCGGCCGATGGTGAGGCCAAGCGAATGTGGACGATCGTGTCTGCGGATCGTGTGACAGATCTGTTTACCAGTAGCCTGGAAAGATGTAAGAGATTAAAAGTTTGGCATCTTTGGTCTGTCCAGGTAGGTGGTTAATTGTTAATCAACGCTGGTGTCTCTCTGATTCTCAGTAACAGCATTGAGCGGGCACAGTGAGAGTAGAATTAGCGCGTGCGGCCTCCGGGTCGGCGACCACTCAGTGCATACACTGTATCATACACTGTGAACACTGAGCATGCTTCCCCAATGTTTTTTCAAGTTCGAGTGTACGTAGTCGGGCAGTCGAGGACCGCATCGTGATAGATGGGAGAAATGGATATGGAAAAGCCCCTGAAGAGAGAGGATAATTATTCAACGAATACATTTACTGGCAACAATCCCCTGGCTTAAACAAACAGGTGGTCTATTCGGGTATTTCATGCCGATCCTTGATCTAATACTGCCTGCCCCGAGACAACTTTCCCTCGCCGTTACTCCTTTGTTAGGTAGATTCAATTTCTAGCCCTGATCAGGTTGAAGTCTTCACCCGCCAAAAGGTGCAAAGTCCGACTGGGTTCATCATGTAGGAAGCCCTTCGATCCCCAATTCAACTGCTCGCCGTCGCACCTCCTCAATCGCCCCAGCCGGCTCAGTCTCGTCTGGATGACGAAGTTGCCAGGCAACGCAAACCTCCAAGGCCTGGCCCATCCACTTACCGGGGCGGACACCAAGTTCTTTTCCCAGCAATCGGCCGTCCACCAGGCGCGTCAGCGAAGGTGCGTCCATGACGTCCAGATCAGCAAGGTAGTCCAGGAACCGCTGCCAGCCTGAAAGAAACTCCTTCTTATCTGTGGCGGAATGAGCAATCTTTCCAGAGACAAGGTACGGTGAGTAGGAAAGTGGGGGTACTTACCGGTGGTTGAGTCAGATGGCAACTTTTCAATGGCCTCGACAAGTAAGGCATAGAGTACCTGGACTCGCCAGTGGCCTCCATGGCTATCCCACTTGCGAATCGCCATACCGACGGTGCTCCTTTCGGTAGTCCTAGATTTACCGGTACCAAAGCCTTGCTTCAGGGTAAGAATCTCAGAGCGATGGCGATATGCTGCAGTGATGACATCGCATAGCTTGTTGGGGGCCTTGATACCTTCCCGGGCAACCAACGTAGTGAGAGGCACTGTACCCCTAGCCTTTGGTAGTGGTACTTCCTCTCTTATGTGGGAGTACGGGGTAATTGCAGCCAGATTCCACGCAAAGTATGCGGCTTCGTCGGATGTGACGAGAATGTCATAGATTGATCTCGGGGCCTTGTCATGAGCGAGGCTGTCAAGGAGATCGTAGGCCAATTCCCACTTGGAGAGGTCTGGGGACGGGTAATATCTATCACTGGAATCCGTGAAGATGGCCTCGTACAGGTTGAGAGTTCGAATCAGGTCCAAAGACATGTGTGGGTTCTTACCTGCTCCAGCACAAAACCATACAAGTCAGTTAAGAAATTCGCGTATGAAGAAAGTTGAGCATAGGCAGACGAACCCTTCAGCATCTTCTCCATCTCGACACCAACCCTCTCGCGGCTGATTTTAAGCTTCAGAGCGTCCAGAACTTGAGGGTCGGCCATGACCGCAGTGGCAGCAGGGTCGATTGAAAAGTCAAGACGACTGGCGAAGCGGAGCAACCTCAGGACTCTGAGAGGATCGTCTGTAAAAGTTTGGAAAGGTTCCATGGGTGTTCGGATCAGGCGAGACTCCATGTCTGTGAGTCCTCCGGTCAGATCTTCGACCAGTCCGGTGTGCAAATTGTAAAAGAGGGCGTTAATGGTGGCATCGCGGCGCAGGGCATCTTCTTCGGCAGTGCCAAACTCCATTGTAGGATTGCGACTGTCCTGAGTGTACGTCTCCTTGCGTAAATTGACAAAGTCGACGTCGAGACCAAACATGCGCGTGGTCGCTGTCTCGAGATGCTTCGACTTGTCGGGATTCGCAGCAATCCTGTGGAGGCTGCCCATATCATCGGGACCAATGTTGTGCTTCCTTGTATGCTCTTCCAGAGCACAGTAGTCGCGCAGCTCCAGACTAAAGGCATAGCCAGTCATGGCATTGATGGCGGTATCAATATCATGACTCTCTATGCCAAGGAGTTTGTCACGAACCCAGCCCCCAGCCCATCGAAGGACAAGGGGCTCAGGTGAACGACCGGCTCCATCGATGAAAGCAGCAACATCAACCAAAAGATCCCTCAATTGCTGCTCTTTGGGAGTAAGACTGAGTGTTGGGGGATCATTTGCAGTGGTAAAGTTTTTGATAGTCGTGGCAGCAACGGGGGTTGTCATCTTGGATGGCGAAGAGGCAGACGGACGACCCACAAACGCGTCAAAGTTCCTCTTCATGAGGTAAGGGTACAAGGATGCGCGCGGCACCGAGCAGCGGTTCCAGGTCGAGACAGATCGAGGTCGAGCACAGGCACGTAGCATGACACGACAGGCCTGACAGTGGAAAGGTGTCGAGTCGGCGGATGCGCCAGTGAAGGGAGTCGAGGGGTAGAACGTGCGCCACGTTAGACCACGGGCCGTGATCCTTTGGTTTCGAAATAGAGTCCTTCTGGTCTCACTCCAGAAGCAGCTCTAGCTTGACTAGCTGGGGTGGTGGTGGTGGTAGCAGTGGTGATGGAGGCGGAGGCGCAAGCACAAGCGCGGTTGCATGAGGTACGGCAAGGGCGCAGCACAGGCCTTGAGGCAAGCAGCCTAGGTGCCAGATCGTCAAAGGAAGTCGATGAGTGGTGGGTTGGTGTTGTAAATACAGCTTCGGGCTGTAAACAGGAGAGAGGGTCTGTACGATGCAAGGCCGCACCGGGGTTTGAGGTAACGGTGAGCTCAAGATGAAAAGTCGATACGAGTGGCTGGTGCGCGGTTAGCTGATGGTAAGGTTGGGGCAGGGCGTCAGGGTGATGAGATGAGACAGGCGGCGACAAGTTGAGATGAGTATTCGTGAGCGAAGAACAATGAGTCAAAGCAAGAACGTCAGGACTTGGTGTCAAAAGATGGATCATTGGTGACAAATGGTACGAAGGTCATTAAGATGTTGGTTTGAATTACCGCTCATTTTCGGGGTGATATATGTGTTGTACTCATATAAGCCATAGAGAGTTGAGGATTTTGACTCACAACTTGCCATAGGTACGTAGTCAGCCGAGGGAGGTCCTGCAACTCGTCCAACTGATCCGGTATTTCCTTTCGATTCCTTCAGTCGACACTAAAAAGAGAAAAGGAAGGAATTGCAACTTGCGCAAGAGGGCGGAAATAGGTGTGCAACGCACCGACGAAAACCTAACTCTGGCAAGCAATGGTGACTAACAATGAGTCTTCGTTGAGGCAGGCACTCAGTAGAATGAATACCTAGGTAGGAGTTGCCTATGTGAATGTTTACGTAAGGAATGGCCCGGGATTGATTACGTAACGCACAGAGTCTGAGTTGACGTCGTTTCAAAGTATCCAAACTCAAGTGGGCCTTCCTTCCTACCTCATCCAATTGGTTTGCATCGTCTCTGCACTTCAACCGGGACTTTACCTTACTACCTCACTTAAGGTATTTAACCAACCTGGCTCTGGCTATTGTTAACTAAGCTTCCCATGTCATCTGATCGTCCAGGGATAAGGCTCGCCCGGACAGAGATGGGGTTGTGGAATGCCCAACTCTTTGCAAGACCAAGTTTTCCCACAATTGCTGCCCCTCTGTCAAAGCATGGCGACGAGGGTGGTTGGGCATTGCCGTCGTGTACGGAGTAGAGTCTTGAGGGCCTCTTGTCCAAAACACACCGTCAGCTTCAGCCCCAGACCCATCACTTAGCGATACGACGTTTGGCGGACCTGAAATCCAGGCAAGGCTAGGATACTACGATGGAGATCCATCTCCCGCCATATCTTGCCAGGAGCAGATCCAAACCTCTCCCTGCTTGACTAGTTGGGAGATTTTCCCCAGGGGATTGCATGATCGTGGCAGTAGGTTGGCCAAGATAGGCTTAGTTCCCGTCCACCACGTTCCCGTCCATCTTTAACCTTGATTATTCTTCTGTTTGATCATCCGCTGGCACTACCTTACTGCTTGACTGTGTACGATTAGACACGGCAAAAACCGTCACGGCGTCACCTTAGTTTGGCTCACGAGGATTATGCATCACACTGTCGTTGTCACCGGCTGGCGGAACGATCCGAGGCAGTTTGTCTCCCATGGCCTTGCAGGAAAAGCCAACGGGATCGATTCCGTACCTTAGCTCTACCGCATACAAGAGAAAGGCCCATGCGATTGGCCCCGCAATCATGGGGTTTGACAACTTCGTTTCATACAACATCGGTGCGCAGCCCACGCCGCCTGTTCCAAACGATGCCTGTCTCACTAGGTTCGCCGCCCTTGGCAACCACCTACCTTGCCTTACCTTACCTGGCGTGCCTGGTACCCTGCTACGTTTACCCGTTACTCATCTTCCGGGCCATCTTCCAACCGCACTGAGAAATGTGAACTTGCTGTCTAGTCAGCGACTTCAATACTCGAAAGCATCTCGTCCGTTGGTCGGTGCGTGCTGGTAGCATATGCGGGTGGCAAAGACCCATCTCTAACTCCATCTCATTCTTAGTAACCCGCGGCATTTCTAGCTCTAACGGCCACCCTTTTTTGTGAGGCCCGGTAAGACTTTCAAGCACGTCTCTACATCGTGACGTGTCGCTGATACGTCACAGGAACCGTCTTCCTAGAACTCCAGCCTATCGTATACGAATTCAACTGCAAAGGATGAAATTTGAAAGTGCCTCTATGCACGTATGGCTTGCTCCCGCATCGATGCGCTGGACGTGGGAGCCACCATATGTACAACCGACCTCGTCCGGCATGGCTACTGTTAGCTACTGGCAACTTAGTCTGAGTGGGTATGCAATCGCCGCATGAGAGCACTTACCACGCCTCCTTATCACGTATATGGAACGACTACAACCTTCACGTTTCTTCTCCCCTGAGTGCGACAAGCAGGCATCATGGCTATGACTCAAAGACTGAAAGATGTCAGGACAGAAATAGCATCTTCAGGTGCTTTCGGCAACCGCAATCATCCACTGTAGCCTCCCTTTTGCCTTCCATTCCTCTGTCTTGGTGGCCGTTGCTCGATGCTTGGTGCCCTCTGGGAACCCTGCGTCGTGACGAGCGTTGTGAGGCTGCAGGGTCATCGTCCCTTACCATCGCTTTGACTAGCATTGAACCGCGCTACGGCACTCCGCAGCACAGGGCACAGTCGTTTCTCGCGTATAACAGCAGGTTCTAACGCGTGTCCTACCATCGGCTGCATGACTTGCCGGTTTGCCAGCCGTTGAACCTGTGCGCGGCTCATAATCAACCTTGACTCGACCCGACTGGCTTAGGCAGAGGCCAAGTTACTCGAATTCGTACTGCCTCACCAGCCATCTGTGCGTGCGTGGTTTCTCGCCGTTGTCAGCCGCAGCGGTTTGACCCGTCTGCATATGCTGTCTCTTTGCAACGTTGGTCGACAACATATCTCTTCATTCATGTTGTCTACCCACTAATGCATTTGCTATACTGGACTATGAGTATCTACTCGGGGTTTCTACTCAGGGTAATCCACGCCATGGCGGTAGATCATCTCTACCCGTGCGTTCGCAGTTGACTGCAGGTTCGATCCAATTGGGCTACCAACTCCCGGGCTCGTTCTTACATTTCCCCCCTTGCAACAATCACGTCGTACCCCGATGTCTGGATCCGATTTGGACGCTCCCGCTCCGCGGATCGAAACAGCCGTACATCTCCGCATCAAACACGCACGAGGCATGGTCTTTGTTTGCTAGGTCTATCGCTACAGGCCCGATTACTACGGCCTTGCCCCCAGTTGCCTCGCCCTCAGCTGGCTGGGCCGTCGCAATCCCCATGCTTGTCTTGGTCTTGAGAAACAGAAACAAGGCCAGCAAGATCCTTGTTAGGTTCATATTGGTACTGTTCAATTTCGATGTAACCCAGCAGCAATCTTTGGCTAGGTCGTGTATCTCGTGCTTCGCCAGCTTGTGAGCCCAGTTGATTTCACTCATGGAATATTGTGGGACCTTCAACGACGGGCTAGTTGCAGTATACATTCACAACATCAGTCTTTACTGTCTTCTTATAGAAGTCTTCTCATAGACAGGCTGAAAGCCGTTCTCCGTCAGGATGAGCTACTGCCTCTATCTGACCGACTCTATGCACATGGACTGTAGAAATGCAGGTCATCCTCCTACGTATGGCAATACCGTCGTACGTACCTTCAGCTAGGTGGACGGTGCATACGATCACTCGCCAACCCCCTTCATCTAGGCTGGGTCGAAATAAGGTCGCGGGCTCGGACTTTTCCAGCTGACATTCGGCCACACCAACTCCGGAACCTTGCGGCCATCCCTGCTATGGCGGCCTCATGTTGCACGCCCCTGGCCCGAGGTCCGCATGAGGCTCTGCTCGTGGCCTTGCCACAGCCCGACTCTGTGGATACAACTTCGAGCGAGCGACAACAGCCGCGTGGAAGGTACTTCGGTGCATGTGTACGCTCCTTTGGCTGTAGTGATACCACCCCAGGATCTCGCATTGAGGCTCTATTGCGAAAACATGTTTGGCTTGGCGGTTTAGGATGTCGGATGGAAATTCGACCAACGTCCTCCGAGTATCAGAGGAGAAGGCAGGATAAGCACTCCGGAGGCTCACTAAGGCGCGTAGGGGTAACGGGATGCAGACATGCGCGTCGTCTCGACATCAGACAGACTCCCATCTACTGGCCGATTACTCTCAAAGGGGTGCTGCCAACCTAGGTATAAAGACGGTCTAACCTCCGGCCTCAATTCGTTCGTATCCTTCTTCCCCATCCAGCATTCAGCAGTCTTTTAGTTATCCGACCACTTCTCTCCTTCCAATCATTTATATTGTATAATATATCCCTGCCGGCCAGGACTTACCTTCTCTCACATCACAATGTCTTCCATCAAGAGCATTTTCGCCATCGGCCTTTTGGCCACTGCCGACATTGTTGCCGGCCACGCTGCCATCATCGGCGCCACCGGTGATGCCGGCGGTCAGGGCATGGCCCTTGGAATCGACTCCAGCACACCCCGTGACGGAACACGTCGGGATCCCTTCCAGGGCGATAGCACTCGCTTCAAGGGCGAGGCTGCCGATACCTTCGGCGAGACTGTCGGAGCCGGCACCAACAACCTTGAGACCGGCACCAAGGCCATGATGGCCGAGACCGGCACCATGCTTCCCCAGATCTCTGCTGGCGGTTCCGTCGACATGACTCTGCACCAGGTCAACGGTGACGGTGGTGGTGAGTATTCGCTCCAACTTTCTTGCTACTTTGCCCTCAACTAACACCGTACAAAGGTCCCTACGACTGCATGATCAACGCTGATGCCACCGGAGCCACCTGGACCAACATCAACGTCGTCACCACTCCCCCGGGCGAGAACTCCCGCAACCGTGATGGTGCCATGACCGCCTTCCCCCTCAAGGCGGCCATCCCTGCCGACCAGGCTTGCACTGGTACCGTCGCTGGCCAGAGCAACGTCTGCTTGGTTCGTTGCCAGAACGCTGCCCGTGCTGGTCCCTTCGGCGGTATCGTTCCTGTCCAGATGGCTGGCACCACCACGCCCGCCGCTGCCCGCCGCAACTTGATGCTCGCCGTCAAGCGCTCCGATGAGCTCCTCAACAAGATGATCAAGCGTGCCCAGACCCCTTCGGCCGCACCTGAGGACGACGCCGCTTACCTGGCCGAGCTCCGCGCCGACGGCGAGGAGATCTGAACGGTTGCTATCTTGAGAGAATCTGGGATCACCACAAGGGTCAAAACAGAGATCCGTGGAGGCAGGATGGACAGGCGATGAAGAGAGGCTTGTTAACTGATGCTGATGCTGATGCCTTTCACTTGTATCTGAGGTGCCTGACTGTGTCTCGACACCCATAGTACACAATTACATTCTCTGACTGCTGCTCACTATGGTTCACTTTGACATCTTGACCTGTGACATAAATGCACATATATTTTACCGGACGGAGCTACTGTTCACTTACACACACAATGCTGCTCTCATGGTAAGCTGATGAGATGTAAAGTACATGAGGACTTAATCTATTATCTTGGGTATGAGGCGCATGTACGGGTAAGGTTTACTTGCCACCCGAGAGGAGGTAGAATTAGCAGAGAGTGTTGTGCAGAAGGGAAACGCAACAATATGGGCGAGTGACATTGATGGAGAGCTCAGGCAAGATGGCTGCGAGAAAAGGAAGGGGTGGCCCAATACTAGTTAGTAGATGCAGAATGAGGGAATCATAGGACCCAATCCCAACTCGAGTGCCTCAGTACCAATCTACCCTAGACTGCTGGTCACACCACCTTGCATCAAATCAACGGCTGACACTGCTGTGAATCGTTTCTCGTCGGTGATGAAGTCTCGTTCATGACGAAGTATCAGTCCCTGGGGATGGCCATGTCCTGGCCCTGAGGTATGTCGAGACCGTCTTCATATTGAGGACGAGGTTTCTTCGATCTTATCTAGCCCATCTAAGGCCAAGGCCTTTGATCTCGACATGTCATCTAGGGGGTTGCCGAATCGCCCAACTTTTGTGCGAGTTGTAGTCCAGGGTTCCTAGTCAAGGGAGGGAGCCGGGGAAGGAGAAGGCGTTGAAGAGAGGGGGATCCGAAAAGGGAAAGATAGGAACCTCCCCCGCAGTTCCCGGAATACTGGTTGAGCTGTGTGGCTGTGGTTGGAGGCTTGTGTCGGGATAGAGTTAGGTATGGAAAGAACAGTCTCCTCATTGGTAGAGTAAGATAAGGTATAATTTCGCACTACTACTGCCTACGCAGTACTTTCTCATGCCTGAGCAAAACTGCGAGGTACTAATACAGAATGTGGGGTGTGAGCAGGTAGCTCTGGGGGTGGTCGCGGTCTCCTTTCATTCGTCACGAAATGCGTGTGACGTCAACGGCAATGGCAGATCCTCGTCACCTTCCCCGCGTTAATAAATGGAAAGAAGAATGTACCGCGCGCCTGCCTGAGTACTTCGAGATACATACAACCTTGACGACCTTCCTGAACGTGTCGCCTCACCCTGACGCGTAGGTTCAAGCTGAGCTGCAGTCTGCTCTTGCTCTCTATTGCTTCCCCCGTTGGAGCACCCCTCATATCTACGAGGTGGCTGTCAACGAGGTGTCGTCTCATTATTTCATAGGTGCTGTCTCACATAAACCTGACCTTCCGTGTACTATGAAGGATGAACACCTCTTCTTCTTGAAGTATGTCGCTGTTAGCCACCAAGCCAGCTCGGCAAAATGATCTTCGAAGATAAGGTAGGTGAGGCGAGCTGCGATACGCAACATGGCATTTATCCCCCCTCCAATGTGTAGATTGCAACATCATGTATTTCATGCCCACCCTCGTGTATCCGGATACCTACGTGAGTGCTTGGCTCTATTCAGGTTCTCTCTCGCTGCAGCCACGGCGGTCTTGGCACATAGATCTGTGTGTACAGAGGCCCTTGAAAGCTTGGCTCAGGTGCACTCAACTCAGTGATATGCATCACACGTCGACCCAGCCTCAACCTTAGCACGTAGATGATCGACAGGTTCATTAAGCCAAAGCGCCTTCGCTTCTCAGGTAGGATAATGTGAACTCATACTTCCCTCCGTGAACAAATTGGAGGCCTGGGGATCAATAGTGTGCAACTGGCAGGTGACCACCCGGAATGAGTTCTCATCCGAACCTACCTTACTTTGACCTCCATGTGCTCTCGCCGTACACCCCCATCGCCCAGTACTTGCCTCGCCTCCGCCTTCGTTGACATCAACGCCCGCCAGCTTCATTAGCTACCTCTGCTCCTCCCTCACCTTGCCCTCCAATGCCATCAGTAGCACCCACCCTCTACGACTCATCCATGCTACCCAACCACGGGCTGTTAAGAAGGGCAATCGCGAGGCCTGGGCCTTCATAAACTCATGTCTTCCCCCTCTCAAAGTCCCCTTTCCCATTCCTTTGCTCAGCTTCTCCACTCACCCACCTAACCAACGACATCACGATACCCTCAAACAGTGTCTTCATCAGCCACCACCCCACGCATCTTATCTCCTGAACTCGTTTTGAGACCTGCCACTGAGCAAAGCTACAATCACCACATCCAGTACATCACCCATTACCATGTCAAGTAAGCCCTCCCGCCCTTAGAAGATGCAGCGCATGTGAACCTTGCTGATGTGCCCTTTCCAGACGAACAAGACAGAGCTCAGAGCATCCCGACCGAGGTTGGTAGCTCGCCAGTTGCACTCGACGGAGAGCCTGCCGTTGCACTCTCATCCTCGCCCACAGATCGAAGAGCCAGCACCGACGAATGGGGTGAGTCCCGGCTAATTCCTTTGAAGCCCGCGACATCCTTTGGGTGCTAACTGAGGTGCTTCATCTATTAGACGCATCCAAGGTGCCCCCGAGCCGCTTCCAAAAGCGCAAGGGTTCCATCTACGCCACGCCGGGCTCCCGCGATGGTCACGTTGACCGCAACTACGCCACGGGGTTCCATGACAAGCATACCGAGAAGGGCTATACCAAGACGCCTGCGAAGTAGTCACTGATTCAATGGTATTTCGAGCTCCCACCCTCGCTGCATCGAGCAATACGCCTTGTCAGACCACCGCATGTGAGGCTGCAAACCAGATCAGCGAGACTAGGGAAGGACGAGCATCGGGGAATGAACTGAACTGAATTGGGAGGACCGGGAATGGAAAAATATTGTAGGGGTCCTGCTGTCTGTATGCTATTACCTAAAACTAGCCAACCACCGCCAGGCCGGAGAAATTGATACATGTTACTCGTCTAGGTCGTCAATGTCGATAGCATCCGGGTTCGCCGCCGCCGCCGGTGCTTCCAACGTGCTGCCCATTTTGGTAGCGTCGCTGGCAGCCACAAACCCGGCCGGTGCTCTCGCCTGTCGCTCAAGTGCCGCCATGGCATCGTCCACCTCGGCATCGCCCGAGTCCTCCGGTCTCCGCTGACTACGCGCAAGTGCCTGCGACGCGATAAAGTTGACGTCCGTATTGTACTGCGCCTGCACACTTCGCTTGATACGGAGCATTTCCTTGAACGTATCCTCGTTGCCGTGCTGCACCTCGAACGACTCCCACTTGGTCCAAAAAGCTGGGCTGGTGCGCGGATCACAGAACTGCGACGCGTGACCGTAAATAGCCCTCGCCCGATCGATCTCGCCAAGGCGCTTCTCCATGTCGGCAAACTTTAAGCACATATCCCGTGCTTCGTTGTCGGGTAGAGTGGAAATGGCTTTTTCGTAAATTGGCCTCGTCGATGGCAGGCCAAAGTTGGATGCCGACTTGGTGATGTAGAAGTTGAACATGTCTGCCCGATCCTCATCCGCCACCGCACGCGTTGCGCGTTCGTAGATGCGCATAGCGTGCCGCGCGAGGCCCCTCTCCTCTTCCAAGTTACCGTACATGAGGTAGATGACCTTGGCAAATTTGGGTGGGCAGTCTTCAATGGCCTGTTCAAAGAGGTCGCGCAGACGCTCGATACCGATCTTGCGATCAACAGCCTTTGTGAGGTAGAGATTCCACAGCTCAAAGGCGACCGGGTAGCTGAAGAGATCCAGGCCGCGCTCGTAGATCTTGAACGACTCTTCGTAGTACTGGTGCTCCTCCAGCAGATTCGCATAGTTGACTACTGTCTGCGGTGTCGCGATCCGCAGCTCAAAGATGCGCTCGTAGACCTTTCGTGTGTCCTCCACAGAGCTGACGCTTTCCACGAGGTCCACATAGAAACTCCAAAGCTTCCAGCTCTTGTGCACACGCTGCTGCGGCGATAGCGTCTCGTCAAAGTAGTCGACTGTGGATCTCTTCGGCGCCTGTACGGCCTTGGCCATAATTCGCACGGCATCGTCAAAGTTCTCGTTTCTCAACTCCATCTCAGCCCACTCAATCCACATATCTGCCAGTTCCGCAACGGACTTGAACGGGACTTTGACAGCCTTCTCCATGATGATGCGCGCATTGCGTATGTCACCACCGCGCTCGTAGAACTTGGCGTAGTTGGCCCAGAGTTGATGGAAGGGTCCGACTGCCTTCTTCGGTTGTATCGTGGCGATGGCGGCTGTGTATGTCTGAACGACTTCGAGATGGTTGTCACCCCAGAGCGCTACTCTTTTCTCCCATTCCGACACGTTGTTGGGGTTTTGTCGCAGGACTACGTCGTTCAGAAGGAATGGCCGTCTGTCCATGAGCTGCTCGAACCGCATCATCCGTATGTCGAGTTCGAAATCTGCCTCCTCGTCCACAATACCGTTGTCGGCGCGTTCCGAGGCCACCTCCATGAGAGCTCCAATGATGGACTCTTCAAACTCGGTATAAGAATCGAAAACAAGCGTGAAGTCCCTGACCGTCATAACCGTAGTGATGGCTTCCTCGAGCACATCTCTAGCGCGCTCGAAGCTGCCTCGTCGGATCCAGTAAGTCGCCAGGCCGCACCAGAGTTTCCCTCGTTGATCGGCGAACCGGACAATGCCGCTCCTGACGATCCTGTCAACGTCAATCCCCGTTTCGTGGCCGGTCTCGATCTCCGCCGCGTGTTCGACCATCAAATCCACCATTTCGCTCCACAGTTCATAGTGCCCTTTCCCTTGCTTGCTAGTGAAACGCGGGTTGTTGAGGAGGTCCATGTACTTCTTAATGGCTTCGGTGTAGAAGCCGACCTGCACAAGGAGCTCGATGAAATCTTCGGCGTCCTCGGGGTGTATTTGCATGTAGCGGCGCCACACCTTGACGGCGCTGATTCCTGCGGCGGAGTTGATGAATGGCTTGTAGAGGGCCCAGATTCGGTTGTGCTGGGTAAGCGGAAGGGCGCGAAGGGCTCGATCGAAAGTGCGTCGGGTGGTCGTAACCAGCGGCTGTTGAAGCAAGAACTTCAGGTACAGCTCCCAGATGCGAGGCATCTTGTTCAGTAGAATGAGCGCGCGCTCGAACAAGGCATTGACCTTTCGGTACTCGGCGGGGAAAATGGCAGCATTCAGCTTCGAAACGTGTTTGCTGCGAAAGGTAAGATACTACGTGTATAGTTAGCAATCGCCGGCGGCAGTCCGGCTAGCTGGAGGGCTCGTCGCAACATACCATCTTCCATAGCTTGTAAGACCGTGGGAGTTGAAGACAAGCTCGCTCGAGCACGAAAGCGCGTTCGTGTACGGTTCCATGTTGAGACTTGAACTGAATGTAGGCAAGCCACGGCTTGATGCTTCCAGGGTTTCGTAAGATGTCCTGTTCGTATACCGAGTCCTCGTCGCTCTGTCGCAAACCGTTAGCTTCTATGCTCAATGTTGATATGACGGAGGGGGCAGTTAGGAGAATGGGCAGCGCATACAACGAGGTGTAGTTCCGGCCGCCTCTGAGAGCCGTTGAGAAGCGTGGGAGCAGGCATCTTGGTTCAGGCCGTTTGCCCAAAGGCCATGGGTAACCAAGAGACTGGCAGCTCGAGCGCGGAGAGCGCTTTTTCGCCGTGTGCAGGTCGCGTCGGGGACGAATTTGCAACTTCCAGGGGCGCGATTTCAAAAGATGATCATGGCGCGAACTAGGCGACAGATCGTTCCTTTACGATACAGTCTGGCAAGGTTGACCAATTGACCCAGGTACTTTTTCTTGCATGCGCCCCGTCCTGGGTTTTTGAGGTGGCGCCCGGGTATTGGAATAAGTTAGGCGGAAGTCCCCAGCCACCGATACAAGGATATCGCAATGTACCTTTTGAATACCAACCGACCTAAGGCACCTCGTTGTAGCGCCGCTTTAGCCACCGCGAGTCTCTTACGCGCGGATAAGGCGAACCCACCTTCGAGCTATATCAGTGGGATGCTAATCGCCAGCGATCCACCTGCACCAGGTACCCGACTCCATCTCTGGGGGGAACCGCTTGAGGTAGGTACTTCCACCTAAGCGTCCCATCGCTCAGCCGGCTCTGAGCACTGACGCAACAGCAGCCAAAAGCCGCCTAACATCATCGACAGCTCCTCCTTGTCGTCTCTATCGTGAACGACCGTCTCTTGCGCCCATTTGCCTCCGCCCTTCGTTGCCGTGCGGATCGTCTCGAACCTCTCCTCCGATCTCTCTTCGAATCCAAGTCCACCCTATATCATCTACCATTTCGATCAGTCAACACCATGTCGGGTGCTCCTGTAGGCCGATGCCCTCCTACATTGTTCAGATTCGACCTCGGAGCTTTCTAATATGTCGATGTATTTGTGTAGGACCGAGAGGCGGTGTTTCCCACGCGCCAGTCGCTGGGAATCATGAAGGCAAAGCTCAAGGGAGCCGAAACGGGCCACAGTCTGTTGAAAAGAAAGAGCGAGGCCTTGACCAAGTACGTATTCAACGGCCTGGATCTCGCGGTATGACTTGGTTTACTGACTTGTTCCTGCGATACAGGCGATTCCGAGGTTCGCAGTGCCGCTTCCAGTTCGAAACGAATGTGCGCTGACCGATGTGACTGCGCCCTGAACAGAGATTACAAGACGTATCGATGAGGCGAAGAGAAAGATGGGACGCGTGATGCAGATTGCCTCCTTCTCCTTGGCCGAGGTCACTTACGCCGTGGGTGGTGATATCGGATACCAGATCCAGGAGTCGGCCCGGTCAGCTCGCTTCCGTGTGCGTACTAAGCAGGAGAACGTTTCTGGTGTTTTGCTCCCGGCATTCGAGAGCTATGTAACTGAAGGAAACAACGATTTCGGCCTCACGGGCTTGGGCAAGGGTGGTCAGCAGGTCCAGCGTTGTCGCGAGACATATGCCCGTGCTGTCGAAGCGCTGGTCGAGCTTGCCAGTCTCCAGGTATGCCGCCGTCAGCTGCATCTTTTGTGAACACTGCAGAAGCGCTAACATGGGCAAGACTGCTTTCGTTATTTTGGATGAGGTTATCAAGGTCGTCAATCGACGTGGTATGTATTCGAGCCAATATGCACTCTCAGCCATTGACTAACATCTTGCAGTAAACGCCATGTAAGACGCATGCGAGATCATCTTGGTGATATCCCACTGACCATTTCACCAGCGAGCACGTTATCATTCCCAGGACAGAGAACACCATCAAGTGTATGTTGTCTATCTGACTTGGGTAGACCTATCTGACTTTGACTACAGACATTAACTCGGAATTGGACGAACTGGACAGAGAGGAGTTCTACAGACTCAAAAAGGTACGTAAAGAGCCAGCCATTGAACTAGATGACGGTGTCTCACAGTAAACTACAGGTTGCCGGAAAGAAACAGAGAGACACTGCTGCCGCAGACGCCGAGATCAAGGCCAAAAAGGCTGCGCGGGCAGCAGAAGAGCAGGGGGATACGTCAGGCCCCGGTGACCTTCTCGCTGCGGAGGAAGACAACGACGTTATTTTCTAAGAAGTCCTTGCGGCACGGGTTGAGAGGAGGCGATCAAGCATGTGTCTTGGTGTTGTTAGACTAGCCTTGCGTGGGTATGCACTCGTTGTAAACATTAGTACCATCCATCCCTGAACACATTTACCCCCCCCTACACGCTAACATAACTGAGATGTATGCGGATACTGCCGCTTTCATTTCCGTCAGCCGCCCTACTGGCGCTGGTATGTGACCTTGATTGTGTGCGTGTCCCCCAGCACCATGCCAGCCGTATTCTCCTTGGCCGTAATAGCACCCTGCTCGCCCTCGTACTCTACGAAGGCAATACCGCGGCGTCCAGGCACTAATCTCACCTCACGGAAACCCTCAAAGCGGCCAAAGATACTGGTGACAGCCTCGATGTCGTAGTCGTCGGGCAATTTCTGCACGAAGAGGATCTTGTTCGGGGGTAGATACTCGTCGGGAATAACTGCTGTAGTGGAGGGATTGGTGGACTTGAGGCCAGTTCCACGGGCAGCCTTGGCGGGACGGGCGTCCGTCGCCGCCGCACCACCGGGGCCGGGTCTCTTGAGACGCTTTTGCTCTTCGGCAGCCTCGAAGGCCTTCTTCTTGTCTGTAGGAGAGAGGGAAGCGTCAGCAAGCCGTTCTGTATCTGGGTAGAGAGGAAAGGCAGAGTAGACGGGAAAATAGACATACCCTTCTCGGCTAAGCGGCGGCGCTTGTGAAGCTCAAACTCGTCATCGTTGCCTACCGACTTGACGGTCGCGTCGCTCCTGGTCCGGGCCAGGGCCAGCTGCATGGGCTTCTCAAACAGCTCGAATCCCTGAACCTCCTCTATGGCCTTGCGCGCAGCCTCGGGATCGTCAAAGACGACGAATGCCTGCCCCTTTGCCTTGAGGTTCGTCTTGGCGACAATGTCAATTACATTGCCGTAGTCGGAGAAGATCTGAAGCAGCGCCTCCTTCAGCTGGTCAACTTTGGCGCGCTCCTCGAGGTTTCGCACGTATACCCTGTGGCACAAAAGGTCAGCCAATGGCCCGACGTGTCGAAGTGCAATGACACGTACGTGGCTACAGGAAGACCGGAAGCCATGTCTACGGTTTGTAGGCGAGTTCCAAGCAAAAGTGAGTGGGAAGACAAGGGAGATGGAAATGTTCAAGTCGAGTGACAGACTGGGTTTAAGCATTGAGTGTTGCGATAAGTTTCTATTGGCCTAAGGCGAAGAGGAACAGCTCGGCGCGTACCCGGGTACCTTGGGCACGGGCCACCTAGGTTCCTTAAGGTGACCGGTACAATGGGAATGGAGCAGTCTGCCTTCTAACCTCACATTCAACATCAAGCCATTAATCAGTTGGCGGTTGAGTTCCTCGATCGATGTATTCCCCTGCAGGAATCACCGCTGCTTAAGTGCCTTTGAAATGCAGATGGCGGCGAGGTAGTACCTAAGCCAACTTCCGTCACGCCGTACGCCAAAAGGACTTTGCCTAGGTCCACCATATCTTCCTTCGAAGTTGCCATCCGCTCTACTACCTTCACAATCGCTCTGTGGAGTTTTACCATACCAAAGCTGATTCAACAAATGACAAAGCCCGTCTCTTGGGCCGTAAGCATGCATACTCTTTGTGCGCTCCAAATAGCGAAGGTTGCATCTTTCATTCTTGGAAATATACTGTCTCGATGCCTTCACACTCATGGTCCGTCTACTAATCGTCATAATCATCATCCTTGCCCTCGTGTTCCACTGCTTGCGAGTTCCGCGCGGCTTCTTCGTCGAAGTCATCGACATCATCACCATCCTCCTCCAAAAGCTCTGCCTGTTGCTCATCATATGTGCGAGTTCTTGCACCAGGAACATCCATTTCCTCCTCATAGCCCTCTTCATAGCCCTCCTCGTAAGTAGGTTGCGATAGAAGCGCATGCCTTCTCGGCGTTCCCCGTGTCGAATATCCCCGAAGCATGTCAAGCCAAATCCCCATTTTGCAACTTCGCATGGTAGTTGTGTTTCTTTATGAAGTTACTTGTCAGGAGTCCTCTACTTTTTGAAATGTCGTGCATCTAACCCGGTCACTACGTCTATCGACGCGGGAGTTATGTGTAGGGTATTGGTCCATTTCTCTTCACTGTGTGTCCTCTAAGAACATTTCTCAAGTCTCTTTACACACCACACCAGGCCATCCGGACTAGTCTTCCGACTATTATGGACTCTCAAATAGCACGTCTTCGGTCACAGATAGACCATAGGTCAGAGACGTCGTTCTTGAATGTACAAGGGCCCGAGATCGACGACGTGTTTGGCGGTCTGACTGTAAGACAAGACGGTACGCTCAAGATACCAGACCACTACAAGTAAAGGATCCTACCCTCCAAACATGATTCTAGTATTTGAGAGTATTGACGAAGACATCAGAAAGCTTCGGCCAACGCTCCAAGCATACCTGCGCCAGGACCAAAGGTTCAACTGGGGTACCAATCCCACAAAGAGGGAGTGGGAGGCGTTGTTCAACGACCTCGCAGCTGCAGAAGTGAAGGCCAATGACTCCGGCAGCGGTTCAGCTGATGCTTTCGGCCACATGCTGGTCAAAATCGGCGAGCGGGCTGATAGGATAGACCCCTGGATCAACTTGATCCCAGACGAGTTCGGACTATGTGTCGTCAAGTCGGCTTTCGCCCTCTTACTGGATGTAAAGTCGTACTTCCAAGCGTATGGAAATGTGAGAGACTGACTGAACGTGAGCGCAGACAGCAAAGTCGGACTCGGAGAGAAGACAAGCAATTTCTGATGCTTTCCTAGTGGTCAGAGACGCTATCGCGGATGCCAGCTCCAAAGGCATTCATTTTCAGACCGAGCCTAGCGTCTACCGAGCGGCAGGAGATCTATATGAATCTATAGCAGATGCTATCCAAGAGCTTTTGTCGCTTGTCAAAACTCGTAAGCACATGAGTTGTGAGTGATGGCCACCTGTCACAAGGCACATATGTACGGTCAGCGCCTAATGCCTTCTTTGTTTCGGACAGGGTCTTTGAGATCGAAGAAAGACAAGCAAGCGAGAGACCCGCAATCCATCTTGAGGAGTGTGACCGAAGCCGCAAACATCTTTTCCCGGGGAATTATAAATTGTCGAGACGCCGTGGCTAAGGAGACCTGGAAAGATACGAAGAAATCGTTGAAGAAGGTCCACTTCATTAGGTGTTCCACCGCCGAAATCAAAAGCGCCCTCTCCAAAGTCAACATGGACCAGGCGGAGCATTTTTTTATTGCTCCAACAGGTGCAACGCACGCAGCAAGTTCTTCTTGCACTCGCTCAGAGTAGAGATGAAGCCAACTCGAAGTTACTTGACAGTTTCCGTGAGCAGCAGAAGAGTGAGTACCCCTTTTCGAAGCAAACCAAAAGTAAGACGGCTGAACTTATGTCAACAGAGAAGCAGCTCGATGTCACGACAATCGAATGGCCCATCAACAATCAGAAAACAGAACCGGACATCGGACTAGGGTCATCGGTGCAACGTGAAGCTTCCAGGGCGGTGATATCACTAGACCGTCTCGTCAAAATCCTAAGCGCCCCGTCCCCGGGTCGTATACTAGCCCAGGATGCGTCCATTGATCTCAACGTGCTGTTCTTGAGACAAAGAGATCTGGAACGTATTCTCCAGAACACTGCCCGGTTCGACCCCAGAGCCGAAAGCCGGGCGCACACCATCCTCAACCAAGACAGGTTCTCTGAATGGATGCAGCAGGACCATCCCGACATGCCCCTGGTTGATGGGGGCATACCTGGGTCGGCCCAGGATGCAATCTCCCCGATGTCCCTTCTCTGTGCCAACTTGAGTCTCGTTCTGGGTGAACACGAGCCCAACAGCATCTTCGCTATATTCTACTGCGGACTGCATACCAGGCCGTATAATGACGACTGGTACGGTCCGTCCGGGATGCTCCGGTCTTCTATAGCACAGGTTTTGTTGGCTCTGATAGAGAGAAATTTCCTTGATCTAGGCTGCCTCGGCCGAAGGGGCTACGTCCGAGGACTTGAGCGTCACGATTTGGGAATATTGTGCGACCTTCTCAGTGACCTGGTATGTCAATTCGATGCCGAAACGATCATTTATGTCATCATCGACGGAGTATCAAAGTTCGACGTCGACTACAACAACATATTCCAAAGGTTAAAGGTGGCGATACGGCGGTTTGGAGACATCGTCAAAGACGACGAGTTGAGGCTCAGGCTGAAGATTCTCATGACCGTACCCTTCAGATCGTCGATAAGATCGAAGAACATCGTAGACACCAAGTTTCAACTGGCTTCACTTCAGCAGCTTTTGGCTCCCAACAAACTGTCGAAAGGTTCCATCCTGTCATCGATTTTGAGCCCGTCAACTCTGCAGAGCGCAGCCACTACATCAAGTCTGCAAAACGACTTGCCAGAATGGGGCAGTGAAGATTACGATGACGAGTAGATAGGAGACAGGTACCATCCTATCTTGAAGTAATGGTGAAATCCCGTTGTGGCAATAATAACATGTGGATTTGATGGATTGCTTCTATCATTCTTTTTTTGCAAGTGACTAATATCTTATAACTGGAGCATGTCTGTATTGAGCCGATAGCATTCGTCTTTTCCTAGCGTCTGTACTTCATAGTCCGCGTTGACCGAACAAATTGTCACATACGACCATACCCATTGGAAAACTCGGGATCCCGTCCGCTCTCCCATAGATAAGCCAATGAGGGCCGGATTAGTAGTTGGGTCGGTGACGACCAGCGAATACCTGGTGTTGTATGTTTTTGATCATCTCTCTTCTTTTGATCCTTGCGTGGTGGTGGGCGACCGTGTGTCATACAGACGGGTTTGGGTCACGGATGGGACAGCCGTCAGACGCGCTGCACGAGCTGGTCGGAGAGGCGCTGGAGCTGCTCGCCGAGCTGACGGCGACGGAGGATACGGCAATGCCAAACGGTCCCGAAACCGATGTCCGATTCCAGCTGCCAGCCATTCCATGGTTATCGATCGAAGACGACCACAGCGAGACGAAAGCCGGCTACTCGTTTCTCACGGACGACCGCAACACTTGGGTTGCCGCCGAGGACGGCTGGCTGTTCACCCGGCTGGCGCGGTCAGCCGCCGCAGCGGAACGCTGGGGACTAAGCAGCTTAGGCAACAGGCGCGGGGCAGCGGACCAACCGTTCCAGGCGTCCGCTGTACAGGAGTTCGGGAGGATGTTTGAACGGCTCCGCGAACGGCTATGGATGCTTCTGCATACGCTCGGCGGTCGGCCCGGGCGGGCAAGCGAGCTCGCGGGCCTGCGGACAGTTAACACCGTCGACGGCGGCGTCCGCAATATAATGGTGCACGACACGATGTTGTGCTTCGCCACGGCGTACCACGAGGGGTACCGGACGACCGGGCAGACCAAGGTGATCCACCGCTATCTGCCGAGAGAGGTTGAGGAGCTCATGGTATGATATCTATGGCTCATCTTACCGTTCTGGCAGGAGGTGTAGGGCATCTCGCACGAGACCAGCCGGTACAGCGCATTCTTGTGGGCAGACGAAATCATTCGGCAGAGAGAGGCAGAAGAAAGCAGCGCAGCGGCAGAAGGTCAGGGGTATGGCATAGGTCAGGGGTATGGCAGCGACGGCAAGGACAGCAATGACGGTACTACCAACAACACTATAAACACAGGCGAGCCCGGGGATGAAAACGCAAGCGTGGGCGACTGGACGTGGAAAGACGAGCAGATGTGGACGACAGACCGGGCGCGGCGGATCACGCAGCGCACCAGCATGAGGCTGCTGGGATGCCAAGTGAACGTGAGTATGTGGCGGCATATCGCCATCGGCATCGCTAACCGTTACTTGAACGATTGTTTGACCGGCCGGGTGGAGACGACGACAGGCGTGGGGACGACGAGGGGATGGACGAGCCCGAGGACAGCCCGTGGGACTTGCAGGCCAGACACAGCACGCGGGTGGCGGGCGTGATCTACGCGCGAGAGTTTATGCAGTTCGGCAGCGGTCTCGCGGCGAGGCAGCAACAGTTCCACAGGGTCAGCCGTCAGTGGCACAGGTTTCTGGGGTTCGGCGGCGAGGATTCGGCCGAGGATTCGGGATGGAAATCGGCAGCCGTGAGCTCCATCGATGCAATACTTGTGCTCGATATGCAGATTCTGACCAGTCTGACCAGACTGACAGTAGTGGCAGTGATCGATAGCGATACCAACGCGGCGGTAGATAGCTCAAGGAATGTTGCATTCGTAGCAGACGAAGTATGCACGGTCAGACTGAGCGGGAGACACCAATGCCTCTGTACACTGTTGACGGGCCATGATCTGAGACAGACTTGGAGTTGGAGAGATGGTGGCAGTCTGGTTCGCGCGGTGACGGTATCTATGTTCTCTCTGGATCTGGCAAGAATTACTCGGGCTGCAGCCATCTCAGACGTGTCCTGCGAGCTCTGTCCGCGAGGGAGGAGATTGCCAGCACTGGGAGTGACGGAGCGGCGACCGAGGAGAGTATCTCCGAGACTGGACAATCGATTGCCAGACATGTTGGGGTCTCGCGAGGGGGCGGCAGCAGCAGGTCGAATAGGCATGCTGGCATTGCGTCAAGCCACTGGATTGACAGGGCCAGAGCCAGCAATTGCATCGTCTGCATCATCAATTATCAATCAAGCGATCGATAATGGCTGCTGCAGCGGTGCAAGGTGGTGGTGGTCCATCCCGTCAACAACTCCCTCCCGATCGACGCAACATCGATGACGACAACGAGCCCTCTATTCAATGTGATTGATGCAAGGTGACGCTGCCCGCCTCCGAATTCGTCAACCTCAAGAACCCCTCGAAGCGTACCAAGCGCTGGTTGACCTGCCGCGGAGTCAGCAACTCTCAGGTATGTAATGAATCAATCAATCAGAGGTCCTGTCAGAATCTCTCGCCCTCGATCACTGCTAACGTCTCTCTCTCCAGGATTCCCGATAGAAGGGTGCCATTCAGTCTCTTAGCAATGCCATATCCATTGGCCAGCACAAGCGTCGTGCTTCATGACTGTGAGGTCGTAGTCGAACGTTGGAGGATCAATTGATGCATCTGGCGAGGTTGAGGTAAGGTTGAAGTGATGTGTAGAGGTTGAGGTTGAGGTCGAGGTCGAGGTCGAGGTTGAGGAAGAAAGGTGGGATGTGGAAGTGACGTAGGTATGGAAAGTATGGAAAGTAAACTTACGTGATCGCCCACACCAGGGGCAAACCCCTTGGAACCCCTCCCTCCGGGGGCCCTCCCGGGGCTCTGTATCCGTGGAAGGTGGGTGGCAGCAATTGTGCGAGGCAGGCGCCGCAACGTGGCTACACGTGACGTTCGACAAATGGCGTATGGAAACTGAGGGGGGTGGTCCCTAGTCGTGGCGTCGTGTGGCGCTCACTAGCGCGCGATTTCGTCCAACTGAAATAAAGCTCACGCTCCTTCCTTTTTTTAATGCAATTGATCTCTACTTGGAAGGAGGCGCTTCGCTTTGAAGATAAATATGTATTGTATCTGTTCTTCTACTCTCCATGATCTGTCCTGCGCGCGCGCGCGTCCTTGTAAGAGGTAGGTGCGCCACGTCACGTGTGGAGCACTGACTCCGATATGTCATGTAAACGCCGAAGTATCCATATCCAACACGGCCAATTCGACAAGAACACCGTCACATGGAACTGAATATTTCGTGTAGCGAGTGGTTTTTTTCTCAGAAAAGAAACGACCGTAAAGAATGAAACTACAGGGCCCTTCCTCCAGCCATCTAACTGTTGCCAAAGAGAGGAAAAGGCGAAGGTTGTGTACGAATGGATCAATTCTCCTACTCAGTCTCCTCCAAAGCAGCCGCCTGTCCCAAAATCACCATCTCCTCGTGTCCCTGGGGGATGTCCTTCTCGAGACTGTCAATCTCGTCGTCGGAGGCGCCATCCGATTTCTTCGCCGAGACGATGTTGTAGCCTTGATGGACCAGGCAGAGGCGGTATCCGTTCTGGGGTCCATGTTGTCCGGTTTGGTAGATGGCAAACAGCACGGACTTCTGCGTCTTGCTAGTTTTGTTGTCGCGCATGCTGTTCCAGTAGATGTGGTGGCGGACCGCGTTCGGGCTGTTGGAGATTTCGTCAATGGCGCCCGAGTTGGCCATCTCGCGGACCATTGAGAGAGGTAGAGAAGCCGTGATGGAAAGGACGTGAGACTGCATGTTGGAAAAGGAGTGCAAATGAGAGAATCCGGAGTAATGGATCGATAAAGAAAGCTGAGAAATATATAGAGAATGGTCGGCGTTGGCGTTACTCTCTACTTGCGGATGAAGCACTCGCCGTTCTCGAATTTCCTCTTCGCGGCTTCCTTGATGGTCTGAGCAGTTAGGTAGCCAAATCAGCGATAAGAAAATCAAGGAGCAGGGCCTCAGAGGAAAAATATACGTAGCAGGTGGCCTTATTGCTCTGTACGCAAAGGTAGGACTTTCCGCTGCGAGGTCTCTCGCAGTTGTGGGCGGCTTGGCGACCGATGCTGTTTTTGGGGTGGCACTTTCCCTTATACTCCTTCTTGACGCGCTTGATCTTGCCGTTGTTGCTGCAGTGTATGGTATTTCCGGCGCGGGCCTCGAGGCCGTCAAAGTCGGTAGGATCGTAGTCGACCTCGACGTCGTCGATCTCAATTTGGGAAAGGTCGATCCCTTCTCCGTCACGCTCGACAAGGTCGCCAACGTTGTTAATCTGAGGGAGGGCAAGAGCGGTGGTTGTACAGAAGATGGCAATGACGGTGGGAAGTGAAAACTTCATTTTAGAAATTGGTGAGAGGGTTATTGCAGAGTTTATATGCCAGTGGTGTGAGCAAGCGAACTAAGGCGATGAGGCAGCAATCGAGGCTGTAGCCTGATACAGAAGAAACTATTTGGTGATATGATGGCCCATTCTCCTGGAAAATCGACAGATCAATGCCTCTACTTATATCCATTCTCTCCATACATGATACTCTCTATTTCTGAAGATTTTTCATCTCACGTCATATTCGATCCCTTTTCGCGATTGATGTGCGACAATCCAATGGAAAGTCCTCTCATCCCTAGTGTTTCTGATTGCGGTCACAGCACAGAAGGTCGTAATTTCAGCATGTCCTAGTGCATACTTGAAAACATACCGCAGAGATAGTCATCCTTCTCTCTCGGCTGCAAGACAGGTAGCAGCTATGGGACTAAATTCCACTCTCAGCGTTGGGGGCGAAGTTGCAGGAAACTTGATCTTCAGCTGAGAATTCAGCAATTGAAATACAGTCAGACAAGAGTTGACGCGCAGCTGAGAAAAACAGAAAGAACCACAGGAACATCCATTTCGCCCGAGGCATACGGTATGAGACCGCCACGTCTGTAGGGTTGACACCTACGGTCGAAACTATGGGGATGGGTCGTCATAAACTGAGCATTGGTCCGTACGGCGGTAGAACAAAACGAAGTCACGCATGCCTTCGTGATAGTTGAGAATGTATCACAGAGGTATGATGGATCGTCATGAACTGAGCATTGGTCCGTACGGCGGTAGAACAAAACGAAGTCACGCATGCCTTCGTGATAGTTGAGAATGTATCACAGAGGTATGATGGATCGTCATGAACCGAGTCTTGGTCTGTATGACGGTAGAACAAAACGAAGTCGCGCATGCCTTCGTGATAGTTGAGAATGTATCATAGAGGCATTCTTACCACAAGGGCTCTTCCGTACGGCTTATTGTAAGACGGCAGTAGCGGTGAACCTACGTTATAAATGTTTGACGCGTACTCTCGACCGCCGTCGCTCGATCTCCGCTCTCCATTCCTCAGGCACTGTCCCCAGCACCGTCTGCAGCCGGTGCGCGTGGTGAAGACTTTGTTCTTCGGGGGGTTTCTTACAGGGTTTGATTTGCTAGAGCTGTAGCCCACGAGAAATCCAATCCAGGAACGCGGCGCTAGCTTCAGTTTCCTAGTCCGCCCTAGCTGCGCGTTGGAAGTCATTGCGAATGATTTGCAACCCTACGACCGAAGATGTGATAAGTCTGGGTGCGCGGAGGCTGCGCTTTCTCAGTGCCGTAAGTGCCCATGGAACAGCTCGTAATTGTTGTTGTTGTTCTATTTAACGCCATGGCGGCAAGGGCGCAGCCGCCCTTGCGGCAGACCTCCCGGAGGGTATGTGGCGTGAAGGGTCGCAGGCTCTAGCTATATACTATATAGTACACGCCGTATCCTTCGTCTGTGTAACTATAGGGTCATAGGACCCTGGGAGGTATTGCGGCTGTAGGAGCGCTGGCCTTGGACACTTAGGTAAAAGGCCAGCTGTTCTTTGAAGCCTGGTCTGTTGCCGCCCTGACTGCAGCAGCCTTGGGACCAAGGGATGCTGTTGGTCAACCTTCTGCAGGCGTATAGCGAAGCGTAGTCGCGCTGCTTCGAGGGCTACCTCTGCTGTGGGAAGGCCAGCGTCTCGGATGAGGCTACTGGTCGGTGTGGTTCTCCAGACAGGCAGGATAGCCCTTGCTGCTGCTGTAATAACTTTGCTAAGTCTACGGGCCAGGCCCTTCTGTCCTGTACCAACTGTAGGTATCTGTAAAGCAGTGCTACTGCTAGTATTGGTGCCGCTGTTTAGGGCTGGTTTGGTTAGGCCCGCATACCAGGTCTCAACTCCATACAAGGCTGTTGGAAGGACACAGGCAATAACCGCTTTTCGTATTGCGGCTGCTGGGAGTCCCCCTTTGGTATTTGTTAGGTGCCGAAGGAACTGGGCTACCTTCTTTGCCGCTGCCACCTTAGTTTCGACATGGTGACGGAAGGTGAGTCTCTTGTCGAACCAGACTCCTAGCCATCGTACAGGCTTAGTTGAGGCCTTAATAGTTAGGCCCGTCGCCTGTATATCTGGTAGGTCTTTTGTCTGGTTATATTTCCTGCTGAAGTGGACTGCCTCACACTTAGCTGGGTCAAAAGCAACCTTGTTATCAGTGCCCCAGTTAAGGATATGAGTGATCTTTTGGCCTAGGGCTATAGCATTTCCTTCTAGCGACGGGCTAGTAGCTACTAAGCCTATATCATCCGCATAGCCAAACCGTAGTTCTTGATCGTCGGCTAGGATATCCGCTAAATATAGTAAAAAGAGAATAGGGGATAGTGGGGAGCCTTGTGGTAGCCCACAGGATAGAGGGAAATCCTCTGTAGTTGTATCCTCTAGCCTGACCCGGGCTGCTCGGCTAGAGGTAAAGGTGAAGATCAGCCTAATCAGATGACTGGGCCAACCCTGCTGTCGTAGCCTGATAATAAGTCGGTTTCTTAGGACAGAGTCAAAAGCCCCTTTAACGTCCATTGTCACAAGAGTTGCAGTGAGCCCTGAGTCTAGAGCCCTCTCGATCTCGTGGGTCAGACAGGCTGTTAGGTCGACTGCAGCCCTCCCTGGTAGTGCTCCAACCTGCTGTGGGCTAGCAACCCCTTCTAGGATAGTAAGGTAGGCCATCCTTTTTGCTATTAGCCGCTCTAGGCCTTTACCTAAGCAGGATAAAAGGGATATCGGACGCCAAGACCCAGTCTTCGAGAAGTCTGTTTTCCCTGGCTTCTGGATCATGACAACTTCTGCTTTGCGGAACGGTCGAGGGAAGTGGCCTACTTGAATACAGGCCTGGAAGAGCTGCTGTATAGGCCTAGCTACTGATTCCCAGGTGTATTGTAGTAACTTTGTAGTAATCCCGTCAATCCCAGGGGTTGTAGTCTTTGTTAGAGTAGCCTGGCGTACTTCTTCCATGCTGACCACATCCTGCCAGGGCATTAGACGCCGTGCAACTACTGGGACAGCGAAAGGGTCCCCAGGTAAGTCGTCTGTAGCGTTAAATCTCTCTAGTAAGGCCTTTCGTAGGGCCTGGGCTTTATCGTAGCTGTTGTCGATTGTCTGACCTTCCACTATAAGAGGCGGGCCTTTAGCAGCTAAGCCAGCCTTCCGCCAGCCTACTATCTTATATAGGTCTTGGTCTGTCTTAGCCCCTTCGATCTTAGTAGTCCAGTAAGCACGTTTTGCCCTTCTAACAGTTGTTAAGAAGATCTTTTGCTCCTCTAGGATGGGGGGAGGTATAACTAGCCCAGGTTCCTGGGCCTGCTGGCGCCTAGCCTCGATAGCAGCTCGGTGGGCTTCTGCACACTCTTCTGTCCACCAGGGGGCTCCCCTACCCTGATTTGTCCGTCTCTTACCTACAGCTTGAATAGCTGTATAGAAGAGGCTGACTAGTTGGGTAGCTAGAGTGTCCAGCTCTGCTGGACTAGGTACTTCCCCTAGGGTAGGTAAGGCTGAGGATCCAGCTCTTACTAGGTCGATAAGTCGGGGTAGGGCTGACTCTGGGACTGAGAGGTGGCCAGTCTGGCGTTTCTGTTTCTGGGCCTTGCCTATAGGGATAGTTGTTGTGATAGCTTGGTGGTCAGCCCCTGGGTGCAGGTGTGGGCTAATATAAGCCTCAGCAAAGGGGATATTTGAGAATGTTAGGTCGAGGGTATGCCTATGAGTATGGGTAGGGACCCCAACCTCCCCAATAAACGAAAGATCGTAGCCTTCAGCCCACTCTGCAATATCGTCCCCCCGATTCCGGCTAGGGGAGCCTGGTTCCCAGGTAGGGTGGCGGGCGTTAAAGTCCCCTGCTATAAGGGCTCTTTCTGGCGGATAGTATCCTAGGAGAGCAGTAGTCGTGTGGTTTGTCGGCTCACCTGGCGGCCTATATACGTTGATAATAGTGAAGTTGCCAGCCTTAACCCATAAGATATCTCTCGTTTGGGTAGGCCTTTGTTGCTGTATTTGTAGTCTTAGACTCTTGCGTATATAGGTCATAACCCTAGGTCTTGTATCTCTGTTGTTCCAGAAGTCAATTGGGATATAAGAGTTATAGCCTGGGTGTGTGTTGATTTGCATCTTATCTCTATAGCCTATCCAGGGCTCCTGGATCAGTACTATATCGATCTGATCCACCCAGCAGAGCTCTAGGAGAGCTGTATGAGCTGGGCTTCTCTTCCCCACGTTACACTGGGCGACTCGTAGTGCCCGTGGGGAGGCTGGCCTGAGCCTACTGCTCTGAGTCGAGGTCGAGGTGGGTGTAGGCATTAATAACGTTGTAATCAGGCTTCTGCGCCACCCGCTGAGCCCTGCTGCTTGAGGTAGCTAGGGTAGGTTGGCTGGGTAGGGGGGGTAGGACTGGGTCGTCAGGGGCTTGCAGCCCTTCTGCTTCAGCCCCATTCTCATCTTCATCCATGCTGCTACAGCTAGCCGCATCACTAACGTCCGCTACAACAATTGAGTCCTGGGTAGGGGTAGGGGCGCGTGGGCGCTTTGAGCCGGGCTGATGGCTCGTTAGGCTGTTGCTAGGTTGCTGGGTGTTGCTGGCTTGGGTGCCAGCCTGGCGCTGGTTGGGATTCGGCTGAGCTCTTCATTCGCTGCTTCTAACAGCTGAATTCGCTGCTTCATCTGTTGAAGAACATCGAAACACAATAAAGATGTCTCTTCGGCGCTTAGAAGTCCTGAGATTCCTCCGTCAGGGACTTCATCTGTCTCAGAAATAACCATCTGAATGTATTCTGAGCTGTTTGGGGTAGCAGCACACGTTTCAAGTCCCGAGGAAAGGCTTGGTTCAGAACAAACCTCACCGGCATTGACTAGAGTCTCAGAAACGTCTGCTGGGCTGTAGCGATAGCCATGATTCTGTTTCATTTTTTGCGTCCCCTGGTTTGCTTCAAAGTTCCAACGAGCTCTTTCAGGCTGCTTCTGTCTTTGAGCTGTGTACGATGGGCTGTGGCTGCGAAGATTCTGTTGTGATGCTAAGGTGACGATGGGTAACTTGGTCCCTGGCGCTGGAGATGCCGTCATGCGTAAATTTGAGGACCCGGGTTCATTATCAGATAGCGCTGTTGACGTGGCTGGAACTGGTTGCGCGGTACCCAAACGGCTGGAGGGCTTGATGTGTCGAGACGCACCCGTTTTGAGTGCTAATGCGGCGAATTTGTTTTGTAACCCTTTACCTATTTCATCTTCTGATATTGTATAATGTGTCTGAGTTGTCTCTCGAGATTTCAGGTTGTTGACTTGGGTATCTGGAAGCGGACCTCTATCCGAAGTATCAGTCTCAGCAGTGGCTGGTTCATACTGGCGTCCCGTTGCATCTTTTTCTTGTCGAGCCTGTCGGATTGGAAGTCCAATTCGGCCGCGAGTAGGGGCAGAGCATGGGCCACCTCGAGGGGGTACACTTAGACCTCGACTACCCACCCAACCTCCGGTTGGAATCTCCCTTCTACTCCTCACGCAGAATCAATCAATACAGAGATATTGATACTTCGTCACCCCCAGGACCCTACGGTTCGAACCAAATTCCCTGTGAAAGGAATACCAACAGAGCCATCGCTAGCCGCTTTTTATTTTGTTGCTCCAACAACATCAATTGCATCTGATAGTCGTGCAGTGGATGGGATCCTTCTGATGTATGGGTTCCTGCATTAGAATCTACTTGCAGTCCTTGGGTTGAGGTTTTCGAAGGTGCATAAAACGCCGTGGGCTGATGTTTGGCATCATTTGCATGCCGTTGCTGGTTAAGTCTTGGATGTGGACCGGACTTTCGAGGTTGTGGGTTTGTTACCATTCGATGATGGACGTTGTCTGTTGCCATGTTGAATGAAGCACAAGTCCTTGGGCCTGCTCTGAATGACGCCGCTTGATGCTCGTCAATAATGCTTTGAAGTGTAGGTTTGTACGCTGAACTGAGTCGAGATATTGGCAGCGCACCCGAGGCACCGTACAATATGATGCGTAATAGACGCGCAGCTGCAACAGTTCCTGATGCTGATCGTAAGGTGTTGCTAATCTCCTTTCAGGTAGGCATTGTGAAGCGGCAAAACGAGGAAACGGGGGGGCGGGAATGAAAAAGAACATGAAATGACAGGAAAGAGGGGTCAGCGTCACACAGCACGCAGCTCGCCAGAAATGAATGTGGTTGACTGGAGCCCGATGCTCTGATAGGCCGAGGTGATGATTTGAGTAACTGGTCAGCGATTGTTGGTACTTATGTATGTTCGTAATTTCTGACTGAAACAACAGTCCAGCCTGATCTGATCAGGCTCCAAACTCGGCGGCAATCGTCAATCAAACGCTAAATGACAGGTCGAGTAGACCTTCGCGTGGCTACGCCATCTCGCAGAGAGCTAAACGTTTGCCTAATCGATTGTAGTCAACGACGGTGCGTAACCACAACCCCGCGCGTCATTCTTTGTGTTCAAGAAACCACGCCTGATGCGTACGAAAAGCTGGAAAGTGTGAGTTCATAGTGAAAGGCTGTGTGGTGCAGATGGATATGAATACAGCTACATCATCATGGTACAAGCGGGGGAAGCAGGGTGAGTTTCTAATGACCAGCGAAGACTTTGAGATGTCTTAACACGATTGCGACAGATGACAGATGTATTGCGGAAGAAGCTTTTAGGGCTGTCCAGAGGTATTTCCAGCAGAGTCATATCTTGACACGCGAGGAGAAGACTCTAATTACTGGGAGTCAATCCATGGAGGATATTCAAAGCTTAGTGACCGCAACGCTCGAAAAATATGAAGCAACGAAGGCATCGGGCGAAATCAGGGGGTGGCTTGAAAGAACGTCCGAGATCATCTGTCATTACGGAACCATCCTCGACGTCTTTGTTCAACATCATCCAGAGTATGTGTCTCTGGCATGGGGCGCTATGAAACTGATATTTGGTGTGAGTCAACCAATTTAAAATGGAAACACACAAGAAAAGAGCTAATACGGCAGAGGAAGAGCGTGGTCAACCATGCGGAGACCCTGAAAATCGTGGCCAAGTCCACCTGGCAGGTTGGCGTGCGACTTTCGCGAGTCAAAATTGTTTCCACAATATACCCAACTGCGAACATGCGAGTGGCTGTTGAGAATCTGTATTCTTGCATCTTGGAGTTTCTGCTGATTGCCCACTCGTGGTGTAAAGAGTCTAAGCTTCGCCATTTCGTCCACAGTTTCACGCGGCCGCGCAAACTTCAATACGATGATTTGCTACAGAGAATCAGTATTGCTTCTGACAACATTACTGAACTGGCGGCGGTAGGCTCGCAAGCCGAGCTCCGTGATATGCACACAGCTCATTCTGGCAAGCTGAAAGGCATTCTATCCGCCCTGGAGGATGCTGAAAAGTCCCATCAACAACAACTTGACGGTCTAACACAACTTGTTTCTGGATTAAGAGTCTCAAATGAGAGGCATGAAAAGAGACTTGACCTCATAGTGTTTCTCTTGGAAGCCTCGGGTCTAACAATGAATGATCTCATCACCAAGGTAGAAAGTAGGCGGCCCTTAGCTCCTCAAAGTGATTCTGGGTGCTTACAACCAGTGTACAGCCTTTCAATATATTCAAACAAGCGCCCAACTAGACACAAATCAACGAATCTCAGATCTCCATCTGTCACACGTCTTGGCCACTCTTTCGCCGACTTTTGAGGATCCGGAGAAGTGTTACAAGTATCACCTCATGTGCCGAAACCGCAGAGTCTCTGGCCGAGGCGCAAACACCTCAACGAATCAGTTCTGGTTATCCCCCAGACTCACGAAATGGTCATCAAGCCATCGATCTTCCCTGATTATCATCAAGGGCTCCTTTAGCGTGCGTTCTGCTATGGTAGACTTCGGGATTGACATCATCCAGACTTTGGAGTCAGCTGGGGTGCCGACTCTGTGGGCATTGTCTAGCTTAGACAAATCGAAGCATGCTTCTATGTCAACGGCAGTAGACCTGATAAAGTATCTCACATATCAGGCGTTGCGGTGGAGCGGCTCTTTAAAGACGGAAAAAGAGTTGTCGTCTCGATACTCACAATTCCATACTGCGCTGAAGCCCAAAGATTGGCTGAAGCTCTTGGGGCAAGCAGTCAGGAGCTTGGGTACAAACATTTACCTTATCGTGGACCTAGCGACGGTCCTCTCATCGCTTGATCAAGCAGACGGGTTCAATTTGATCGACGAGCTCTGCATGATGCTTGATGATCCGTCTATTGAGGGCCTGAAAGTGAAGATCGTTCTACTTCTGTACGAGGCTGAGTGGCTCAGAGTGGTAGCGAAAAGCGACTCTGCGGAGACTGTCTTGGTCAAATCAATGAAAGCGAAGAGGGCACAAGCAAAGGAACGAAAGCAAACTGTGGCGAAACGTCTTGTCGGTCGCTCTAAGCTAGGTATGAAATAGAGTGGGAGATGGGATCATGACGTCGATTTTCTTGAAGCTTTATCTGTTGATCGCTTGAAGAAAAAATGGTTGCAGGCTGCAGACATTGGGAAATACACCGATGAACCACATCAAGCAGAGACAAGTGCCGATACAGGAACAGGGTAGCCGCTTTAGATATGCTAATGGCGTATCAAGGGAGAACGGGGAGAATTCCATTGACTATTGCAGCCAGCCTGCGTTCTCACATTCTCACTACATAAAATGATGTGTTCTATCATTTCGAACTGATGATCAATACAGGAAGCTCCATGTCGGCATGCAAGGCTGCTAGCAGGAGCCAAGATTCGGCGGTGGCGCTGGCAACCACCATGTTGCATCATACATGGCGATATGATTGGCGTTCTCTTGCTCAAATGTGACTTGCGGCTGAGTTTGGTTCAAGTCAAACGGGATGTAGGCGGCTAGGTCCCTCGTGCTCTCGTGCTCTCGTGCGGGTGGCTAGCTGATGGCGTGGTCTAGACTGAACGGCTGAGCACGGCAGGCCTAAGAGAGCAGCGGAGCAAGTCTCGGAAGGCTGCAGAATATTGCGCAGATGAAGAAAACGCAGAATTCACGAGCCAAACCTCGTGGCTGAAATGTTTTCCAATTACGGACTGCCTGCTGCAAACCCCACAATATTGTCGCATGGAGATAGAGAGGAGATCTCTCTGATCGACAGTGCTCGTGTCAGAGCCTAACCTAGTGAACACGACGAACTGTAGTGGAGTTGGTAGAAGACGCCTAACAAAATAAATATGGGGCATGGAAGCAGGGGGGTAAGAGTTGATAGACATTATCTAGAGCAAGCTATGCAAAAACAGGATGCATCGATTCGTCTCAATTCGCTCATGACGCTCATGACTTTGTAATTATTCATCTCTTAAGTTGCTATCATAAAGTGGTAGTTGAGATTGCTGCGACTTTGCGATGGGGTGTGGGTTTGACTGATCACGGGCCAGATAGCGCCCACCACTACAACCGGGGAAGGTAACTGTTGGTATCACAGACGTGATACATTTCCTCATGAGGGTGTATCTTCGGCAACAATCACGTCGATGTCCGTGATAATTGCTGTTGTTCTTGTTTCTATTTACATTGTGGGCAGGGGCCGATCGAAGTAGGTTGGGACGGCCTGGGTGGTTGCCCCACCTTTATCCGGCCGTGATGACTAAGCCAGTTGTCCCACGTCGCCCAGGGCAGGCGCCAGCCAGCCCACGATACCTGCCCATTGCTCCTTATCAGCCTTGCTGTTCCGACAGTAACAGTTCCAACGTCCAGACAGTTGCCTGCTCAACCGCATCTAATTCCAACTACAATCAACACAGCTCACTATTCTCAAAGACTTACACCACCCATTGTAGTATTATCCCACGATCATGACACCACAGGCCATGTACTTCCATAAAATTTTTGCATACAATGGAACCGTTCATATTTGACGAGGAGTACTCAGTTGCCATATGTAAAACATGTCAATTCGCCGTGGTATGTGATGAGGTAGCAACGCACTTACGGACACGGCACCGTGATATGTCAGCGTCCACCCGCATTAGTATCATGATGTGGGGGCAATACTGCTGTATTGGATCTCATGATGAAGATGGGAAAGCTGACCGCTGGCTGGGCTGGATGTCTGGGCAAGGTGTAGGTGGGGCAGCTGGTGAAGGAGATGCCTCACGTGACCCACTCGCACCTGCCACAAGCGTACCGCTTCGCATTTAGCTGGATCAAAGGTAACTTTGCCTGTAATATAGTTTAGATTAGTATAGACCATGTCGGCATTGCGCCCGGCACGTCCTTTTGTTACCAAGACGTTAAATACATCATCATCATCATCATCATCATCATCAAAGGTAACTTTGTTCTCAGCGCCCCATTCGAGCATAGAGCTAACTTCGCTACCCAGCATCCGGGCGTTCTCTTCCAACGTAGGAGAGATCACTAGGAGCCCTATATCATCCACATACCCAAAGCGGCACCTAGGATTATCTAAGAGCGCGTCTGCTAGGTAGAGGATATATAGGACTGGGGACGCAGGGGAGCCCTGTGGGAGACCGCAGCGTAGCGGAAAGCCCTCCGAGAGTCTCTTGTCCATTCTGATAATAGCCACGCGCTGGGTCATAAAGGACCTCACAAAGCGGATAAACACCTCTGGCCAGCCCTGTTGGCGGAGCCGGAGTATGAGTCTATTTCGAAGCGTGGCGTCAAACGCCCCTTTAGCGTCTATCGTGACCATCGTCGCAGTTAGGCCGCTTTCTAGTGCTTCCTCTATCATGCGCTGCTTGATCCTCTATGGACTTGAGGACATTTAAATCAAAAACCAAAAACATACAACACCAGGTATTCGCTGGTCGTCACCGACCCAACTACTAATCCGGCCCTCATTGGCTTATCTATGGGAGAGCGGACGGGATCCCGAGTTTTCCAATGGGTATGGTCGTATGTGACAATTTGTTCGGTCAACGCGGACTATGACGTACAGACGCTAGGAAAAGACGAATGCTATCGGCTCAATACAGACATGCTCCAGTTATAAGTGTCAGGCCCATCCCAGTACACTCGTTACAACGATTGTCACACTATGCCTATGAAACAATATGGTCTTACACAAGCATGACTAAGTTTGCCAAGGATATGCCAGTATAAAGGGTCTTCCACTCACTATATAGATAGTCGGGATATTCCCATAGCCACTCGTTCTTCATACTCATCAATACATCCCATTGACCCCCTACCTGATAATCGCTGCCCAACAGCTACTATCCCATCGAGTGCCAATTGGCAACAGGTACATGCCCTTGAGGGGAACTGACCACTCAGGAGACAGCCAAGACTTCTTCTAGCCAACCAAAAAGCCTAGATTATGGATACTTCTGTTGTCTATATACTCTGACTATGAAAGAGGTACCAGCAATCATCCGAGTTACAAAGCGCTACTCCACACTGCAGGCACCCTGACCTCGTCTTTTTTCTGTGGGATCGTGAGTGTTGTTGAACAGGGCCTCGTACTGCGGCTTCATTGGTCCACTGTACCCACGATTCAACCAGCCTCAAAGGCACATACTGCTGAAAAAGCTCTAAAGGGGTAGTAGATAGACCCCGTACTGTTGCGGCGCGGTAGGGCACGTCGAGGGGGTTGAATTGGCCCGGTGTGCCCCTTTCTAGCGGAGGCGATTCGTGTGGGCGTACAGTTGCGTTATTACACCTCTCGGGCCTACATTGAGCTGTACAGGCGCTATCAAGGTCTTCGGGAAGTACTGCGACGGTGATATGTGAAAGCGCTGACGAATCAGACGCATCAGAGTCGCTTGAGGACATCGCGACAGTTGCCCATCTGTAGAAATGTTAGTTGTGGTGGTGAACGCAGCTGGGAAAATATAGGGGTTGATGACGTACCGTCATGTATTCCCGCGGTGAGGGGGCAAAGGTGGGTCAAAACTGGGCATAATGTACCTGTTGCCAATTGGCACTCGATGGGATACCGTAAAGTTAACCAGTGGTCAGCCCACATCCAAGAGACTGGGGATTCCCTTTATCCCATTGACTGCTGCAAGACGCCATGCGGGGTACGGCCAATAAGGGCTTGTGGTTTCATATACTCTATCCAATGATAAGCTAGGATTTCCGGTACTTCTATTCTCTAGTTATCTTGGTTATGCCAGAGGTACCAGCAATCTCTGTTGATACAAAGCGGTACATTGCAGTCTAAGCAGCCCTTTCTTGTGTATCTAGGCCGTGGCTGCGCAAGGCTGTTTCCAGATACCTCGGATAAGGCAGTTCGGCGAGATAATGCGCCTTTACTGCTGCAATAAGAGCACCGCGAATTAACCTTTCTCGATCCCTTTGTATGGTGTTGCCAAGGAATAGAGGTATTCCTTTTATCTTTAGCTTGCCCAGGCCGAGATCTAGCAGGAAGTCCCAAGCAATTGCCTGCCAGCCCCCTCGCCGGATAGGGTGGCCCCATTGATAATAGGATCTCATCTGGTCACTAACATCAACGCCGTTCATCTTATGGTTATACTCGTCTATTGGTGCCGGCACTGGCAGGTTCTTCCGGACGTCGGCGCCGAAGACTTTCCGGGCAGCCCGCTTTGCAGTAGTATCTCCGGTTGGCCGGCGCCGGCTCCGAATAATATCCTGGCCTTCCCGGAAGACTGTTATTAAGAAGAGTATAAATAGCATTGTCTTTCTAGGTGAACTGGTTAACCTAGAAGAACTGATTAGTATAAAGATATCCTTAGAAGGTAGTCTATAATACTATACCTCCCTATCTAAAGTAGGGATATAATGTATCTTGCCCCAAGGGATATCTTGTCCTTCAGTTGCTTTCTCGGCAATAAGGATCTTATCTATGCCGCTATCTTTCCGGCAGGTGCTAGAAGCTCCGACTTGCTGCTTCCGGAGAGCCCTAAAGAGCTGGACAGAAGAAAAGAGGTTATCTAAAAAGACGTGGTAGATTGCAGCCGGAAGTAGGGCAACTAGGGTCGTTACAACCCGTTGCGTCGGCGTTAAAAGGGCCTGCTTTGCCGCCTCGTTATCCGGCGCTGGCCGGGCCTGTGGGACTAGCCCGTACGGGCCCTTTCCGTAGATATGCCAGAGCCACCGGAGACAGTAGCCTGATTGGGCAAGAATCCATATCTTAAAGCCAGTCGGGATCGGCTTAGTCGGGATTGTTGTTGTCTCAAGGGACCGGCCCGTGAATCGGACCATAGCCTCGTCAACGGTAAGGTTAGAGCCGGCCGTATAGAAGGAGTCCCCGGTATCCTGAATATAGGCCGACTACCCATTAACCTTCCGGTACGTATCCGGCATTAGATTATCCCAGGGCCGGCGCCGGTATTAGCTATAGCTAGACTGACTAGGGAGATTAGAGGTATCGAATATCCGGAGCTGCCGGGATAGTCTTTGGTAACGGTCACGGGATATAAACCGGGTTGTTGGTTCACGGGGTCGTATACGACAAATAGTGGTAGCAATTATCACTCGTCTGTTGGTGATCCTATTGCTTGTTCTTCTTGTTGTTGTTCTATCTTACATTGTAGGCAGGAGTCGGTCGAAGTAGGTAGTGACGGCCTGGGTGGTTGCCCCACCTTTATCCGGCCGTGATGACTAAGCCAGTTGTCCCACTTCGCCCAGGGCAGGTGCCAGCCAGCCCATGGTACCTGCCTATTACTCCTTATCAGCCTTTGCTGTTCCAACACGGGTAAATAGATGAATAGGGTCCTCTTTCTCTTGCTGAGTTGCCCAGTATCTTGATAGTTTATACTCTTTATGGATCCCTATATAAATACGGATTCCTAAGAAGAGGTATACCTCTTCTATAGAGGTCTTTTTCCACTTATACACTCTTGAGTGTCTAGGCTGAGGGCCCTCCTTAGAAATCGGCGCTGCATTTGTCCACCGGACCTACTGCTCAACAAGGCTCCGGGGAACGTATCGGAGGAAAAGGTTAATCGGCGTTTCCGGTAAGTCCCGTATTTGCCGGTCCCGGGCCGGTATATTAAAGTGTATAAAAGAGCCGGGCAAGCCAGGCTTAGCCGGAGGCTCATGGGGCCGGACTGTGTTATTATCGTACTCCTCCGGCGTATAGTCGGCAGTATAGCCGACTTCAAGGTCTTCGGGAAGGAGCTTAACGAATATACAGCTCCGTACGGAGGTATCGGTAGCTACGGAGGTATCGGAAGCATCAGAATTACTAGAAGACATCGTAACATTAGTTGAAATGATGGTTTTGGTAGTAATAGTAGGTAAAAAAACATAGGGGTAAATGATGTTTCGTCTTGTACCGATTGAAGTGCGGGGTAAAAGTGGGCGCTTTTGTGGACCACCCGTTTTTTGGCGTCTTGCAGCAGTCAATGGGATATACCTGGTTCAGACCTTACAGTTAACGAGGCTATGGTCCGATTTACAGGTCGGTCTCTTGAGACGACAACGATTCCAACGAAACCTATCCCAACTGGCTATAAGATCTGGATCCTTGCCCAGTCTGGCTACTGTATACGGTGGCTGTGGCACGTCCATGGAAAGGGCCCATACGCATTAGTCCCCCAGGCCCGGCCGGCTAGGCCAGCTGCTGGAAAGCTGGCTCTGTTGACACCAACGCAGCAGGTAGTAACTACGCTTATTTCACTACTTCCAGCTGCAACCTACCACGTATTTCTTGACAATCTCTTCGCCTCTGTACGTCTCTTTCGTACCCTACGGAATCAAGAGGTTGGAGCTTCTGGTACCTGCCGGAAGGATAGTGGGATAGATAAGATCCTAGTTATTGAGAAAGAGACTGAAGGACGGGGTATCCCCTGGGGGGAAATACACTGTATCCCGACTTTAGATGGGGAGGTAAGCTGCTAGCCCGCCCAGCCCTACCCTACCCAGCTAACTAGGAAATAGGTCAACCAATTCACCTGGAAGGATAATGCCCTCGTACTCTTCCTGTCAACTGTCTTCCAGAATGGCCAGGAAGTTATTCGCAGCCGCCGCCGCCCAGCTGGGGATACCGCTGCTAAGAAGGCTGCCCAGCAAGTCTTTGGCCCAGACGTCCGTAAGGACCTTCCAGTTCCTAGGGCAATCGATGAGTACAATCACGATGAATGGGGTTGATGTGAGTGACCAGATGAGGTCCTATTATCAATACAACCACCCTATTCGCCGAGGGGGCTGGCAGTCAATTGCCTGGAAATTCCTGCTAGAAGTGGTAGTTGTGAATAGCTTCCTACTACAGCTCTGGGGCAGCCCGAGTTGGAAGAAGGTAAAACTCATCACCAATGGCGGAAGATGCTTGCAGCTCAGCTTATTCAACGGTTTGGACCATTGGCAGGCGGACGACGACTTTCACGACCTAGACGGGCTACAGACAAGAGGAATACCTCTATTCCATGGGAGCAGCATCGTAGGGGGTCAAGGGGGGTATGCTCGCCTTGCTCTTATTGTAGTAATAGGGGGTCATTAAGAGCCCGCCAGGCTCTAGGCGAGATATCTAGGAATAACCTTACGTAGTAAGTAAGAAAAACTCGGCAGGGCTGTTTAGACTGTAATGTACCTTTATGTATGAAGGGAGACTGCTGGTACCTCAGGCATACACAAAATATATAGAGAATAGAAGTACTGGAAATCCTGTTGAATCATTGGATAAGTCTAATAGGCTGGGAAGTTCCTATTGGCTCTACCCCACCTCTTGGCAAAATGAGGTGAGTTAGCACCCGATGGGATAGCTGTTCCTGCGTCCCTCCACTCTACGCCCTGGTACCCCTTCACTTCCCCCACCCTCACCAAGCAAAGAAGCAGCTCCTAACACTGATCCATCACAATCAAAATATATCAATCAAGATGCCGCTTCGCGAGACCGACCCAGATTTCGAAAGTGAGATCTTCGAAAGAGCAAAGGCAGCTTTAAGCGCAAAGTTTGGGAATTTCCAATATGATCTCCCGCTACCGCTTCTTCTCGTCGATGAATATGCCGAGAAGCCTCTGTCGTGCCAGGAACCTGTCGAGGAGACGAGCGCAATCAGCGCCCACATATCGGTGCGCATCCGCGCCTTGTATGAGCAGCTTGCCGCCGCCTATGACAAGACCGAGGATCCGCCAGCCAGCATCGGTATCAAGCTCGAAATTCAACCGCAGAACTTTGACCCAGAGGAGCCACAATGCCACCATCGCAGATATCACTCGCGCCGCCTGCAACTGCACGACCCCGAGACACTGCCAGATCTGCCCTTTGTGAACAAGCTGTTCATCAGGTCAAGGTCGTACGGCGGGGATGCCGAGCTCGCCACAGACATACGCCCTCTGTCCCCCCTCGTGCCGCTGCAGTGCCTCGTCCACCTGCCGGCTGCTCAGGACTGGCATGCAAAATGGTTGTGGGAGCGACCCGTGCCCGCTTCCGTACCGAGTAGGGTGATGCGTGAGCACTACACCTGGCCGTGGGAGGGCCCCCTTCGAGACGCCCGCCACGAGTTCGGCGCCGCGATCATGGACCAGGAGAAGCACCTCTGCGGGAAGAGTATCCCCTCCAGTCTGACCAGGGCCGCACTGCACTTTTGGCCATTCTTCTCGCGCCCCAGGCATAACCAGACCATGGCCCGGCCAAACTTGATCCATCCTGCAGAAAAAGACCCCGTGTCTGTCGGCCTGTGCAAGCTCGGTGCGCAGCTAAGCCTGTTTGACGTGCGCGCTGTGGTCACTTCAGATCTGTTCCCTGCACCGGACGAGCCAACTGACCAGCAGTGGTCACAGATGCGGCGATTTCGGCTCGAGTTCCACGCCCTCCGACCAGACGGGCGGTGGTACTTTGTCGGCCCTGGTGGCGAGGATCCGCACGACTCTGAACAAGGAGGGTATAAGATCTCCGATACAGAACACTACCCCCGCGAAACCGATACGGACGAGGATATAGACCACGACGCCGAGTACGACGACAACCCGGATAACGAGTACGATTATACTCTAGATATGTTCCGTACTGAGCCTAGTAGGGAGCGGATAGAGCCCCTGCTTGCCGCGTTTGCTAAGTCTTTGACTCGCGATAGTATGCCAAGCCTCGAGGACGCCGAGATTTTCACGTACGTGTGGTGGTTTCCTTCAGACGACAAATTCAAGGAGGAATATGGTATGCCGAGAAAAAGAGGCCACAGATGGGGTGTCAAGTTCATTGCTGGGCGCGGTAGCAAGAAGCAGAGAAAGGACAGCGATGCTGCTGCACCAACACCGCCGGTGGTGCAGTGGCAGATTGGTAACTGGAGACCCAGTGAGGAGGTCATGAGCTTGTTCGAAATTCTAGGACGGCAGGAGTGGCTCGATCTCAAGTGGGATGAGTACAGATCTACGGCGGGGCAGGACGTGCTGGGACATAGCGAGTCTTCACCCATATAGTCGGGCGGGCAACGGGAATCCTTTTCCCAAAGTTTCGAGAACAAGTAGCCTGATGCCCTTTTAAGAATGGCCGGCCGAACTGGCGATGGCAGCAACGGAGGTGGTGGGGACGTATATACGCTCATCATCGTCGAGGAAGCATCCCGAGGAGTTTCGCATAGCATGGCCATCTCGACAGATGTCCAAGGTGAACAGAATCAGTTGGGAGGTGATAGCGAAAAGAAAATAAGTCAAGTTTACACCAAATCGGATTTATACCGGGACTTATATCAGATAGGTACAAGCTACGCTCTGCAAATAATTATTTGTTACTTAAACCACATAGACCGTTCTTCAGAGACCTTAGATAGACAGACGAAAAGTTTAATGTGCGAGGGCCGCAGAAGCCAAATGTTTTCGCGTATCCTTGAAATTAATAGCTCTTCATTCATTCATTCATTTAACCGTCCTTGGTAGGATAACTATGAAGATGGGGAGTAAACATTTCACTCATAAGTAATATCTTTCCTCTTTAAGCTGAAATTGATCTTTTAGAAAATGTCCTTTGCTAATTCCGTAGTGGAGAATGATCATGATAACGATAATTAATATAATAAAAAGGTCTCCATCTCAAATAGCAAGACTTGCACGTTCGCGTTGGAAAGCCCGCGCTTGAGGTACAGGTTATTCACTCTATGGATTAAAATCAACGAGACATTTACAGCTTTAGTTATAAAATGAAAATTATTCACTTTACAAAACTCTCTTTCCTTAGCCTAAAGAGTAACCATGGTAGAAAACATATCCTTAATGACACTATCCTTACATATAGTAGGTACTTGAGCTTCCGCAAAACTACAGATTTCCCACCTCCACGTAGCAATCAAATCATGAAATAAATCCTAATAATTCTTTCTAGCTAGAAACCCCAACGCAGTACGCCTGGCCAAGCCAGAAGTTTGTCACGCAATCCCTCGAGACAGCAGGGTTCCAGTTATAAAACTGATCAAGTGTGATGCCGTTGTCACTGGCCATGGACGCGCAGCCGTCGCCACTCTGCACAACATCCCACTTGTTGCAATTAGCCGGCTGGCCGGTGTGTGTCGGTGCGGGCGGCGTCGGCTTCGCCGTTGTGGGGATCGACGACGTCGTGGTAGGAGTCCCCCCGACACTAGATCGGCCGACGCAGTATGCCTGCCCCAGCCAAAAGTTTGTCACGCAGTCCTTGGACACCGCCGGGTTCCAAGCGTAGAACTGATCCACGGTGATTCCGTTGTCCGAGGCCATGGACCCGCAGCTGTCGCCTTCTACCACAACGTCCCACTTGTTGCAGTCGGCAGGTTGGCCGGTATGCGTAGGAGCCGGAGGAGTAGGCTTGACCGTCGTCGACGCTGTTGCCGAAGCAGACTGCGAGGACGTGATGCTGATGCCCTGTCCCGCCCTGTGCGTGCAGTACGCCTGTTCGAGCCAGAAGTTCACGGTGCAGTCAGCGCTGATGGCAGGGTTCCATTCGAGGAATGTGGCGAGGGAAATTCCGGCGTTGTCCGCAACGGACTGGCACGAGTCACTGCTGGCCACGACGTGCCAGCCATCACAGTCTGCCGGCTGGCCCTCGTGCGTGGCCGCTGGCGGCTGGGGTTCGGTCCCGGTCCCGGTCGGCGCGGGCTCTTCGGTGGTGGTTTGTGTGGGTGGCAGACCCCAGGAGCCGCAGTACCGCTGGCCGATCTGGAACACGCATGCCGCGTCCGTGACGTTCGTCGTGAGCGAGTTCCAGGCGACGAAGCTGTCAAAATCGACGTTGTAGTTGGACGCTGCAATCTCGCAGTTGCTATTCCAAAAGCCGAACACGTCAGGCGAGTATTGGTACTCGTCGCCCTTGAAGTAGAAGGCGCAGTCGTCGCGGACACCGGTGGCCAATGGGAGCTGGGTTGGTCTTGGATCCAGAGTCATGGTGGCGTTGGGCAGCATAGTGAAGGGGACGCCGGTAAAGGACTCGTTGGGGTCAATGGTGACGGAGTTATATCCAGGACGGCCGGGGTAGTTATTAATATCACCAACCGCCTGGATACAGTAGCTTTCCTTGGCAAAGAGGTTGGTGCAGTTGGAGTTGATGCCCGTGTTGAGGAACATGAAGTCCTCTAGAGAAATGGCAAACTTGAGAGTAACCAGGTTGCAGTAGTCGCCTGCCTCAACCTCGTACCAGCGGCCGCAGGGCTTGTCAGACCCAATGGCAGTATTGGAAGGGATCGGAGCGGCAGTTGTAGGCGTCACTGGAGGAACGTTCGTCGTCGGGGCGGGTGGCAGCTTGGGTCCGGGTGGTTCGATGCAAAGAGTGGTGCCGTTCATCATGTCCAGGTTGGAACAGACCGGGTTGATGACAGGATTCCAAGCCAGAAGCTGTGGCTCTGTGATGTTCGCAGCCGCAGCGATGGCTGTGCACGTCGTGTTGACTGCTACCGTGACAGTTTTGCACGTGTTAGTGATGCAGAGACTACCCGAAGTTGGGAACCCGTGACAATAGGCACCGAGGTGATTGTCAGACAGCATCCAGGCTGTACCGACACTCTTAGCCTTGGAGATGCTGTAGCAATCATCACCGCCCTGGATCTGGTACGTGGTGCTGCCGCAGACTGACTCGGTAGGCGACGGTTGGGTGATGAAATAGTCAATGGTAGATGTGGTAGCAGGCTTGCCCGTGATGCCACAGCTGGACGTCAAGGTTTGGTAGATGGACTCGCTGGCCACGACGGGACCATCAAAGTAGGGCGACCCAGATCGCAGGCGCAGTCTGGCTGCGAGACACAGGTCACAATCCGCGGGCTTGACAGCGCCCTCGGGAAGTTCATTGATGTAGTTGAAGACAGAAACTGGCAAGCTGTTAGTTAAAACGTGCCACGTGGTCCGAAATTGGCCATTATCATATCATGTCGAAGTTCATTCGCGAAGCGGGGAGAACTCACCTCCAGGATTGGTAAAGAAAGCTGTCAATGCCGCAACGGGGCCGCAAAAGACATCGCTCTCCTTGAGACACGTGAATTCATAGATGTATCGGCGGCTGGCCGGGATCACAATGGGTGATGCGTCAAGATCATACTCAGCAGGAATGACAATGTCGTTGCCACAGGCAGACCGGACCGAGCTCTCCCAAGACTGGAGTGCAGAAGCGCAGCCAACGGTACACATGCGGGTCAGCGTGGCAGTAGGGTAGTAGAAGTCATGGCGGAGAGCCGGAACGAGAGGGTCGCAAGCGATATCAGCCATGAGGGCTGCAGAACATGCCGCATCGAGATCCTCGGGAAGACTGTCGTCGTAGAGCATCTTGACGGCGGAGACCGGGCTGGGGCTAAGGCTAAGGCTCAGAAGAGCCCCAAGCCCAAAGGCAGAACGCCATAAGGCCACCATGATTTGATGGATTGTGTTTTCCTGCGTCTCTCTCACCAAGATTTAAAAGAATGAACAATGAGTAGATGAGACAAGCACATCCGAATAATGGAGGAAGGGAGTGTTGTGTCGACTTAGACACAAGGAGCAACAGGCGACCGTAAGAGTGATAAGTAAGTCGGGAAGTGCCAATGACTCTAGAACAATGGAGGCGCAGAACGATTTGCCCAGGTCCGATGGAAAAACTCGGTCCAAGGGATTCTAGCTGCTCCAAGTTGTCGTCGTCCCGTATGAGATGAGACCAGATGGGAAACATCCGCCCGATGCAAGAAAAAGGGTCAAAAGAGCCGGCTTTCACCATATCATGGATCAGCATCGTAGGATTTTCAGGGTAGCAGAAGTATTCAGGTACCATAGATAGTATGGTATGCAATCCACCAACACCTGCCTATAATGGAAAAGATTCTTGTGATTAGGTGAGAATATTATGCACTGCAACTCTGACCTATGGATGCTGCCAAGACTGCTAACAGTAGAAATGCTAGTTGTCTCGCTTTCGTATATGGTGTACGCAGGCTGGGGCCAAAAGTATTGGAGTATGGCAGGGATCCCTTCCTCCGTGCGAGCGCAGCAACGCACTTTCTGACGGGCACAGTCTGTCAATTACCTAAGTAGATTTTGATTGGCTCAACGAATATCGATAAGATACGAGCGCTTGTTCAATCTTATCGATAGCTTAGGTAAACTTTTGATTGGGTGCATATAAAGCGGGCCTCGGGTATAGTACGGCTGCTGTCGGAGTACTTATGTAAGGTTTGAGTGCGACGCAGTCCTCACACGGAGCAGAGGGCCCCCGGCATACTCCAATACTTCTGGCCCCAGCCTTCGTACAACTAGCCAGTAACTTGCGCTAGCTATCAGTTCCACCTTTAACCTTAATATAACCATAAAAGGGGTGCATATCCGTGCAGGAGCTTGTTCACAATGACCTGACCACGGCTGTTGAGGGAGATGAGGGAGGCGAACTGTTGGTCTTGGCGCCAAGACAGGTTTATACTATTTGCTTACATGCAGGAACCGATGACCTTTCTCGCCGAGACATGGGGTCGAACAGCGCTTACCTTACATGCAGGGTTCATGCAGAGGTTAATTGAGCGGCCCGCCTCTCAGCATAACGAACCTTCAGCGGCAAGCACGATATCACATAAAATCTCACTCTGATGGGACCCTCTGTACCGAAAAGGCAATCATGAGCGAGTATCTCCGAACGACGGTATGGGAAAATAGGACGATGACCATCTGACATCGACAATGAGCCCCTATGAGCCCTGCCAGGTAGCAGAGTGCGTGCAGCGGAGCCGAGGCCTCGCCGCCTGTGCCAAGCATAGCCTTCAGAGCATGCAAGGCAAGGGGATGAAGAGGATTTGATATTGGCACGGGGTATTGGGATCGGTATTGGGGCTGGGTTGCTCTAGAACACCATCCAAGTTCTCTCTTGTCAGATGACACTCTCCCAAATACTCTGTCTCTCGTGCCCTCTTTTTGGTCGGCTTCCCTTTAAAGATATCTGAGCTAGCTGACTTTGTTTGCTTCTTTGCAAATGCTCTTTATTTCTATCATTTCCTTCTCAACTCTCCAAAACCCCTTCTCTCTCTCTCTCTCTCTCTCTCTCTCATAGGGGACCACATTCTTTTGATTATCATTTTTTGGTTGCTGGGTAGAGCCCCCACAACCTCAGCCCTAAACGCAACAATGGGACCATGGTCCCAGCTCTCATGGAGCTGTTTGCTTCTTTCTACGTTCATTACCCCGTCTCTTGGAGCAGTCATCACATCAAGGCCAGGTAGTACCAGCGTGGTTGCGGTGCCCGAACTCCCTGACGCGTGCCGCGCCGTCACCTCGTAAGTAAACTTGCCTCAGCCGTGTCCTACGATCTGGACCACTCGAGCTCATTGTGCTGACTCGTTATGAAAAAATCTCAGACCCTTTGATTACTCGGCCAAGAACCGTCGTGACCATGAGCTACCAGTTTGCAGTGCTGACGGCCCCGGTCTTGACACTGATGTACGAGAAATCGTCCCCGAGTCACTCGAGACTGGCGTGTCTTTGGTAGGACGCACCGAGCTGTCTTCCCTGTTTGGAAGACAGGTAGTCGGCGGCGACGACTATACCTGCGGTCCCGACCGCCCTTGCAAGAACAAGGCCTGCTGTCCCAAGAAGACTGGCCAGTGCAACTACGGCGAGGAGTAGGTCCCCCTTTCCCTCTTTCGCCAGTCGTGTGGCTCGTTGAATCATGTAATGTCTTGCGCCTCTTTCTGATGTTGCTGCTACCGTTCTGGATTCGGGCTAATAATTTCTTCCCCCCCCTTAAAATAGAGCCTGCGGTACATCTGGAATTTCGCCCAACGAGGTGTGCTGGTCCAACTGCGATGCCAAGGCAGAGTGCGGCAAGAATGCAGCTGTCCCCGGCCAAAAGTGTCTCCTGAATGTCTGCTGTGGCAAGTGGGGTTTCTGTGGAATGACAGAGTATGTACAAATCCAAAATATGAAGATGCCGGCGCAGCAGACCAGTGTTGACGATTGTGAAAAACAGCGACTTCTGTGACAAGGATGATCATGGAGCTACTGGCGGTTGCCAGTCCAACTGCGATCAGCCAGGTCCCAAAGACAAGGCTTCCGATCAGCTCAACCGTGTCATAGGATACTACGAGGCATGGAGACACGACTCCGAGTGTCAGGATATGGTAAGTATACTCTGCTCTCTAGCAATGCGGGTGTCCCATTAACCGTGAGATAGGGCTTGGACGACATTCCCGTCAATTCCCTGACTCATTTGTACTTCTCTTTTGCGTTCATCATGCCGGACTTTCAGATCGTCGGCATGGACAACCTGCCCGATAAGCTGTTCACAGACTTCACCAACCTCAAGAAGAAGAATCCTGCCCTCAAGATGGTTATTGCCATTGGTGGGTGGACACACAACGACCCGGGCCCTTTGCAAAAGGTGTTTAGCAACATGGTCAGCACCAAAGCAAATCGGTCCAAGTTCATCGGCAACCTCATGTCCTTCCTCCGCATGTACGCCTTTGACGGTGTCGACTTTGACTGGGAGTACCCTGGCGCGGACGACCGCGGTGGTGTCCCCGAGGACGGCGAGAACTTCACCCAATTCCTCAAGGAGCTCGATGAGGAAAACAAGAAGCAGCCCGTCAAGTACATTGTGTCCTACACAGCGCCGACGAGCTTCTGGTATCTGCGCCACTTTGATCTCAAATCAATTGATTATGTCGACTTTGTCAATGTCATGTCATATGAGTAAGTCATTTTCTTTCCTTTTTGCCTTGTCTCCTGTGACATCTCAACTAATCACATGTATAGTCTTCACGGTGTCTGGGATCGCGAAAACCCGATTGGGTCTCACATCTACGGTCACACCAACCTGACTGAGATGAGCCTGGCGTTTGATCTCTTCTGGAGAAACGATGTCCCGGCCAAGAAGTTGAACATGGGTCTCGGTTTCTATGGTCGCGCGTTCCAGCTGGCCGATCCGTCCTGCAACAAGCCCGGCTGTCTCTTCAAGGGAGGCGCCACCAAAGGAGCGTGCAGTGGCGAGTCTGGCATCCTGAGCTACCGCGAGATCCAGGAGGTTATCAAAGTCAACAAGATCAAGCCAGTCCACGACAAGGAGGCCGGTGTCAAGTACATTACCTGGAACACTGACCAGTGGGTGTCATTTGACGACAAGGAGACCTTCAAGCAGAAGAAGGACCTCGCAGCCAAGCTTGGCCTCGGAGGCTATTTGATCTGGGCCATCGACCAGGATGATGCCGAGATGTCTGCCCTGGCTGCTGTTCTGGACCCCAAACCCTTGGGCGACTTCAAGTCGATCGACAAGGGTGACGAGAACTGGACGGGCACCAACGAGATGTGCTACGTTACGAGCTGTGGCGTTGATGACTGCAAGGCGGGCGAGATCAAGATCACGGACCAGAAGTGCGGCAAGGACAAGAAGAGTACTCTCTGCTGTCCCTTGTCGGGAGCCCCTGACCCCAAGTCGTGTACCTGGCGCGGAGGCGAGACCAGATGGTGCAACGGCTACTGCAAGGACGACGAGGTCATGACGCACATGAGCAAATACGGCGGCGGCCACGACTGCTGGGACGGCCAAATGGCGCACTGCTGCGAGAGCTCCCTGGGCGAGAAGAACATCTGCAAGTGGCGCGGCGTCGGCGAAAAGTGCCATAGTGGCGAGCTGCCCCTAACTTTCTCCGGTACCGTCCTCGACATCCTTGACGACGTCGCCAAAGTTATCTTGCGGGTTCTCGGTCGTGCGCACCCGCTCGCGGCCCTTACGGGTCTAGTCCTGCTCGAGGTTCTCGACGAGCTGGATATCGATACCCAGAAGCTGTACTGCTGCCCTGAAAAGGAGGTTGAAAAGTGGAAGAACTGCGCCTGGTACGGTAAGCCCGGCAACTGCTTCGACGGCCACTGCCTGGACATGAAGACGGTGCAGATCACCGACTCGTACTTTGGCGGCAGCGATAACTGCGGCATCCACTTGGACCGTGTCCGGACCTTCTGCTGCGAGTCGGATGGCGAGCCCCTTTTCCTGCCCGTGGACCTCAAGAACCTATTCGAGCACCCTCCCGAGGGCGGCTCTGACACGGATTTCACCCTCGAGACGGACAAGTCGTCGGCCGGCGGCGACGATGACCCCAACGAAGCTGCGTTCCAGTTCGTGGTCCTCGTCTCGCCCGAGGCGCTCCAAATCTCTCTCGACAAGCGCGATGGTTCCCACTGGGACGTCTTTGACTGCAACGACTCCGTCTCCGAGGGCGAGCACACGGTCCGCATGGTCTGCAACGACCACACCCCGGACAGCAACTGCCACAAGATTGGACTTGGCCACGGTGTTCCGGGAACTATTCTCCAGATGC